AAAAATTTTTGTGACAGAAGCAGAAAACAAGCAACTAGCAATTGGGTGGGGGAGACAGGGAAAGGGGGGGGAGGGAGGAGGGGGGAGGGAGGAAGGAGGAAGGAGGAGAGGAAGGAAGGAGGAAGGAGGAGGAAGGAAGGAGGAAGGAGGAGGAAGGAGGAGGGAGGAGGAAGGAGGAGGAGGAAGACAACAAACTGCAGGCTAGGGTCACAGGGCAAGACTTGAAGTGCTGACCAGCACCAGCATGTTCACCAAGCACAGGTCTCAATATGCCAGAGCACGTGGAACGAGGGAACAAGGTACCCCTTTTCCAGAGAGTACTGTGCTTTGTTACCTACCTGTGAGGATGCCTACCTGTACACTTGAACACAGGATGCATGCTCAGACATTCTTGCGTGCACATACACTCAACATGTACAAGGTCCCACACATGCAGGCATTCACATGCCTGTGTATGTGCCTAGTCACATGTATGTACCTGCACACCCCATGCCTACAAGTACAAGACCACGCATACACACATACTCATATGCATACACTCATGCTCACGTGTGTACACGACCCCACACAAACAGCCAGGCTCGTGTGTACATGACCTCATATATACTTACCTACACATGACCACACATAAGCTTGAATCCCGTGAGCACACATACATGTTCCTATGGACACCATTGAGCTTTCTCCTTTGCTCTGCTACAGAACAGGGAAACTGAGGCTCAGCTCTCACACTGCTAGGAGGCTCTTTTCTTGTCTGGAGCCCTTGCTTCTTGCCTCTGCCTCTACTTACCCCTCCAGCCTCATGCCATGCATCTCTCAGGCTTCGGGTCCTTCGTGGACAAGACAGTGCTGCCCTTCGTCAACACGCACCCTGAGAAGCTGAGGAACCCGTGCCCCAACAAGGAGAAGGCCTGCCAGCCCCCATTTGCCTTCAGGCATGTGCTCAAGCTCACCGACAATTCCAACCAGTTTCAGACAGAGGTTGGCAAGCAGCTGATTTCTGGAAACCTGGATGCTCCTGAGGGTGGACTTGATGCCATGATGCAAGTTGCTGCTTGCCCGGTGAGGCCACTGCCCCATGCAGGCCTCCCAGTTTCTCTAATCTCAGGGGAAACTGAGGAAGGTAACCAATGCCTTCTTCCCAGGAGGAAATTGGCTGGCGCAATGTCACGCGATTGCTGGTGTTTGCCACAGATGATGGCTTCCACTTTGCTGGTGATGGGAAGCTGGGTGCCATCCTGACCCCCAACGATGGCCGCTGCCACCTGGAGGACAACATGTACAAGAGGAGCAATGAGTTTGTGAGTGTCCTGCCTTCCTTGCCAAGTCCTGGGGACTGAGACCTGCTCAAGGGGGAGGCACTCAGGCCTCCTGTGGCCATGCAGCAGTGACAGGAGGGCAGGATGAGGGCAGGGTCACGTGCCCGGGTTACCTGACAGAGATCAGACCCCTCCTTCTAACACACAAGTAACAAATCACAGAGGGATTCCTAGAGACCCTGACATCCACCTCAGGCTTCAAGGCAGCCTTGACCCTGGTCTTCATGGCAGGAACCCTGACTCAGCAGGGACCCTTTCCATCCATCACACTGCTGCTAGCACTCCTGCCTGCCTGTAACGACCCCATCAGGGCACAGCATTGCCCTCCTGAAGGTACTGGGAAGGACTTTAGGGTCTCCATGTTGAGGGGCCCACCTGGAGCCCACAGATGGGGGTGATATTTGCAGATAGAATCCAGGGGTCCAGGGACTGGAGAGATGGCTCAATGGTTAAGAGTACTGGCTGCTCTTGCAAAGACCTGGGTTCAGTTCCCAACACCTACATGGTGGCTAAGAACCATCTGTAACTCCAGTTCCACGGTATCTGATGCCTTCTTCTGACCTCGAGCACTGCGTGACACTGGTGTACTTACTTACATGCAGGCAATACACTCATACACATAAAAAATAATAAATAAGCCAGGCATGGTGGCATACACCTTTAATCCCAGCACTTGGGAGGTAGAGGCAGGCGGATCTTTGTGAGTTCAAGGCCAGCCTGGTCTATATAGTGAGTTCCAGGACAACTGGGGCTACAGGGAGACCCTGTCTCAAAAAGACAATAAATAATTAATTAATTAATTAATTAATTAAAAAAAAGAATCCAGGGGTCCATGAAACTCCCTGAAGCTGAATGTCCTTCCACTATGCAAGTAGGCATCATGGTGGTAAGGAGTGATGTCTGAGATGTCCCCCAGCAGAAGAAGATCAGCTCCCTAGAATGCTGCTTACGCTCTGGTTGGCTTGGAAGCCTGTAACAATGGCTCACAGTCACTGTCTTTATCCAGCACTGAATCACAATTGTCAGTATTCTCTTTGCGTATTTGAATGTGGCTGTTTCCCCAGCACAATCCCGTCATGTACTTATAAACCTTATGCCAAGCGGGACCTGCCCTGAGCAGGAGCTGAGACCTCTTGGCTTCGGCACTTGCTTCCTTCAAGTGGCCTGGAAGGCTTGGCTGACAGGACGCCCCCCTCTCTCTAGGACTACCCATCGGTGGGTCAGCTGGCCCACAAATTGTCTGAAAGCAACATCCAGCCCATCTTCGCAGTGACGAAGAAGATGGTAAAAACCTACGAGGTAAGTGAGCATTGTTTAACTCAGGAGACCAGCTGTCTCAGCTGCAGGGGACAAGGCGGCCGGCAGAGTTGCCCCAGCTTTGCTGCTGTCACTAGCCTGTGGGTGGCCAGCCTGGCCAGCGGCCACAGCTTCCTGGGTGTAAACATCACGGTGGAGGAAGTTGAGGCTGCCTTAAGGCCACTCGGTGTTCACATCTTGAAGTTCCACAGTGCCGCCTGCTCATTCCCCCTCTGCTGGAACACAGTAGGCTGGGAGCTCGCTATCTCTTTGGGGGAACGCCCCTGCCCTAGTGTCGACACACATTTGAACATAGGCACACCCCACAAAGTGTCAGATGCTGGTCTCAGGTGGAGAGCAGGCAGATTTCACCAGGGAAGCAAGTCCCAAAGTATAACTGCTGTGTGCTTTAAGCAGCAGGAGCCCGGCCCACCTAGGGCTACCTCCCCAGGAGACCTTGGTTCTGCCTACCAGGAACACTTCCTCTTTCCATGTGCTAGTCGGGACAGTCCTCCCAAAAGCATCTCCACAGGCAGGAGCAAAACCCCAAACAAAGCTCTGCATGGTGGTTTGTGCCTTTAATCCCCCTGGAAGAGGCAGGCAGAGCTCTGTGAGTTCAAGGCCAGCCTGGTCTACATAGTGAGTTCCAGGCCAGCTGGGGCTACAGGGAGACCCTGTCTCAAAAAGACCAAAAAACAAACAAACAAACACCCAAAACAAATAAGACCTTAGACTTGGCTCTGAAACCATTACCCATCCTCCTGGGTAGGAAGCAGCCGCCTCTGCAGGGGCATCATTTCCATCTAGTCATCTCTGAAGACAGCAGTGACTGAATCAAGCGGTGGTGTAGAGCACAGCTGTAAGGCTGGACAGAGTTTCTGATGGTCAGAGGGCTAGCTCCCTGAAACCCCTCACTACACTGTCTGAGGCTTGTCCTGTGTGTTTGCTGTTGGAGCATGTTCACCGCCCGGCTTAAGAAAACACTGCACGCTGAGGTGGTGTCCCAGGTGGAAGAGCTTCTGTGGGCAAGATGCTCATGTGCTGTTGGGCACCCAAGCCTTCTTTCTGGCTCAGTGATTTGTTAGACAGATCCACAGAACATGGAAAGCTACTAGACCCCCAGTCACATTTGTCATAGCGGAGGACATGGGGTAAAGTCAGCAGAGGTGAGAAGGCATAGGACAAAGTCCAGGAAAGAGACTGGGCTCAAGCTCCTAGCTGTCCCCTCCCCGTGACAGCGTGGCAGCACTTAATGCTCCCTGCATGATGTGTGACAACATAGACATACAGAGCACGACCACCCAGAAAAGGGTGCCCAAGTCTCAGAAATGGCCTCACAGCTGACCTGGACCTTCAGACCCTCCAGAGATTGAACTGATCCTTCATGACCCAAGATCCCCTTTCCAGGTCACACTGTTGATCCACCTAGGGTCGCAAAAGCCCAGGATAAACAAAGTCACTCCTTCGGGGAGTCACTGCCAAGGGCCACCTTCCTTTGGAATGTGCAGGGTGTGGGCGGCAGGCCTGTGACTGACCTCTATTGAGCAGCACAGTGCAGGAATTTGCTAAAAGCAAAAGTGTCACACGCACCCCTCCCTGGTAGAGGAGCTCTGTGTCATGACCACACAACACAGGATGAGACCAGAATGAGACATGGGCTGGGGTCTGGAGACCTGAGACATGGAAAGCCCTGGCAATAATGAATTAGTAAATTCTGATGAGCCATTCTTCAGGGTCAGAGACCCTCAGATCTCAGCTCTGCAGCAAGACCATGCAAGCCACTTCCAAAGGGGGTACCCAGTTTCCTCTTCTGTGAAAGGCAGCAGTGCCCACCTGGGAGGGCCACTGTGAGGACCCTGGAGCTCAGCTGTCCAGTGAATTCAGAAAGTAGCTGCCCCCTCATCCAAGAACGATCACCGTTCCTCAGTGGTCCCTGCCAGCACCCTGTTCTCATAGATAGACGAATGTGCATTTAAGGCCAACCAACCTGTTCCCTTACATCATGGCTCTGTACAGCCATGCGGCCTTCTGTAGGCCTGGCCTCAGCATGAATGTGGATCTTGGGGGAGGAAAACACACAGTGCCTGAGAAGGTTTTTGTGCATCGCGCACTGCGAATAAGAACTGGGTCGGGACATGTCCTAGGTCTTGGGCAAGCCCTGGTTGCTGGGGTAACAGCCAGACCTGCGTTCCTACTGGTAGGTTCCCAGGCTTCAGTAAGGGGGCAGTCCGTGAAAAGACACCGAGGAAGAAGAGGAGGAGGGGCAGGCCAGGGATGCTCCGAGTGGAGTGCGTGATGGGAGCTGGCTGCTGAGGACGGCAATTTACCTCAGCACAGCCAGGGCAGAAGGCTGAGACTATCCTGCCTCTTTGTCTCTTTGTTTGTAATTGGGCTTGACCGTCCCCTCCTCACAGAGTTGTAGCTGAAGTTTTGCTGTCAGTGGGAGGAGTTGTGCTCCAGAAGACAGCAGGATGATGATGGGCAAGGGAGCTGCAGCCCACCACCCGCTGTGCTTCGGTGTTTGGATCAGGCAGGGTGCCCTAGGGAAACTGAACTGATGGGATGAATATGCATTCCCTAAAAGGTCATGCCCTAGAGAGGCTGAGAACCCGGGAGCCGCTCGCTCCCCGAGGCTGGATGCCATAGCAGTCCCAGTCTGCTGCTGAAGGCCTGGAGGACTCCTGGAGAGCCACTGCTCTTCAGGTCACATTGGAAGAAGCAGCTGGTGCAGATGTCAGTGGGGGATGGTGGCACACAGGATAGATGCACTCGCCAGCAGAGGTGGAAGGCAGGCAGGAGACATCTTGGCCAACAGAAGGTGCTACTCGCTCTGGGGGAAGGTCTTCCTCCTTGAATTAGTCCTTCTTGGAAACAACCTCACAGACCTGTCCAGAGTCAGGTGTCTTCATTGATTCCAGGTGTAATCAAGTTGACAATCAAGAATAACCATTGCCGGAGGTCGTACGCCTTCCTAAGCCTCAGGAGATGGTCAAGCCGCAGGGAACATGTGAGGACTACTCACACCAGACCCTCCAGTGCGCACACTTTCCAACCAAGTAGAGAGCAGACCCTCCTGGGTGCAAGCTTTCCAACCAAGTAGAGAGCAGGCTCCATAGACTGGACGTGGAAGAGCCCAGCCTTCTGGGCCAGGACTGATCGTGTGTCGGGGCAAATGATAGTGGGTGGCAGGCCAGAGGAGGTTGGGGGCTGGTTATGATGGCCTCATGAAGGGGACAGACTCCATTCTAGGGAGTCAGGGAGGTGGCCTGGCCAGTTATGTGTTCCTGGAGGTGATGAGTCCTGGAGGTGATGTGTTCCTGGAGGTCATTCTGTCTTCATAAAATCTGGCACAGCCACGAATGATGCCAGCGTAGGTGTGCAGAGGACACTGGCCGGCTGTCACCTAAGGGCTCTGTCTGGCCCACCTCTTCTGGTCAGCAGGCCTGTCCTGCTGGAGTTAATTGTCATAGGGTTATGAACACAGTTACTATTAAAATAAGATTGCTCAAACCCATTGCAATACTCAGGGCTTGCCACTTCCTGTGATTTTATCACATTTTGCTATGATCTGTGTATCATGTTGGTGTGGTAGAAATACTCTTGCATGGTGAGCCAAGTGTGTGTCCTCAACTCTGAGATGCCATCAGATTGAAATGACTGCTGGGGGCTCCCAGGGCTTTGATGCCCATCTTTCTTGCTCCCTCCCTCCCTTCTTTTCTTTATCAGAACTGGAGATTTAATCCATTCTAGGCAAGCACTCTGCCACTGGCCCATATTCCCCAGTCTGCTTCACTTTTTATTCTGAGACAGAGTCTGGCTAGGTTGTCCAGGCAGGTCCTGAACTTGTGATCCTCCTGCCTCACCTCACAAATATCTGCGATAAGAGGCCGCAGACCACAGGCCTATCTCCTGAGGGCTTGCTGTTTCCTGAAGGCTTGTCGTTAGCAGCCTGCAGCACATTGCTGACCACAAGCTCTCAGGACGTATTCATTGTCTTCTGAGCTATCTTATGAACAAGGGGGGCCCCAGGCATCACAAACCTTTGTGACTTTGGAGGGGCCTGGAGCACCGGGTGCCAGCTTCATCTCCTCACTAACAGAAACTCACTGAGATCATCCCAAAGTCGGCTGTGGGGGAGCTGTCTGATGACTCCAGCAACGTGGTGCAACTGATCAAGAATGCCTACAACGTGAGTCTCCAGCCCGGCCCAGTGGGCAGGCAAGGACCCCAAGGGTAGATGAGCAGCAGAGAGGCAGTCCTGTCTTTTGGGAGCTCCTGCTGGGGACTCTCGTAAGTTCTGCACAGACATGGCAGGGAGAAAGAAAACAGACCAGGGCCTCTCTGGGGCTTGCACAGGTGAAGACAGATGGCCAGTCATTTCCCACAGGGCAGCTCTGTGTCTCTTGTGGGCGGCACACATGGCCTGTTCAGTCCCTACCTGGGTACTCCCTGAAACACAAGTTCCAGGCCCTCCTTACTGAGGCTCTTCCCTGCCAGTCACCATGGAGAAGTCGGGGGTAGATGGTTGGGGAAGGCCAGATGCTGCTCCCCAGGGTGGGGAGACCCCAGGAATCATAGTGTCTTTGGGCCTTGTGAAGACTCCCCTGGGATGAAGCATATCTTGCGTGCCAGGCCCCAGCCCTATCCCAGATAAGCGTCCCTCCATCTGTCATCTTCTCCCTGATGTATCATCTATCCAGTTGTACCCAGCTTCATGCCCTAAGAGGCCCAGGGGCCTGGTGGATACCAGCATGCACCAGAAACTGCTCAGGGCTCAGGCCCTATCCAGTCTCCAATCAAAACAAAAATCTGCTCCCAACAGCAGGCCTGCGCTCCCTGTGGCCAATGGTCCTGGAGCCTGGCAGCACACACGCGTGGGAGGCTCTTGAACAACACTGTGGCTGACCAGAGCTCAAGTCTAGGAAGGGAGATCCTGTTTCCTTCTCTAGCTTCGTGAGCCCCAAGCTCGCCAAGCAGACTCCTGTGCCTGGGTCTGTCTTTGCAGGGATGACTTGAGTGATGACATCATTGCTCACCCACCAGAAGCTTCTGATGTTCTCTCCTTCCTCTGTCTCTCATCTCTGACATCACTTCAGCAATCACCCCCTCTGCTGACCCTGGTTTCAACAGCGAGGGGACAGTCTTCACAGGGCTCACGGACTGTGTCCATTTTAGTTGCCTGCAGGTGGCTTGTCTCAGGACAGGCCATGGCATCAGCCTGGTGGACCATCCCTGGTACTCGTACCCCATCTCCTAACTCTAACCTTAACCTTAATCCTAACCGAGTGTCTCTGTCATTAACTGATGAGGATGGCACTGGCCAGGGTCAGGGACAGACGGACACGGCACCCTTGAGCTTCGCTGCTCTCTGCCTACAGAAACTGTCCTCCAGAGTCTTCCTGGAACACACCACCCTCCCTGACACTCTGAAAGTCACCTACGACTCCTTCTGCAATAATGGAGCAGCGTCAAGCATAGACAAATCCCGAGGGGACTGCGATCGCGTGCAGATCAACGTTCCGGTGAGCAGAGAGGCAGAGGGACCTGGGGTTCCCACTCAGCAGAATAACTCCAGATCTCCATAGTGGCCCTGGGTAGACTGTCAGGCCATGGGATGACAGTACCCCCTGGGGCAACTACTGGATGTGCGGAGCTAGAGAAACAAGATCTGGTGGCTCAGGGTCTCCTAGTTTTTTGTTTTGTTTTATTTGCTTCCCTCCCCTCCCCCTCCCTCTAACATGGCCCATATGATACTACCCAGGTTTCCTTGCTTCTTCAGCCTTACCACACAAATGTCTCTCATCACTCAGTGACCTTGGGCTGTTCAGTCTACAGATTGTGCCTGTGGTTACTCTCCAGCACCTAATGTACCTTTGGAATCCCTTTCACTATTTATAATTTCAACAGTTACCCATTAGGATATTTATCATAATTGTAAGTGTATATTTTTGTTGTTCATCACACCTATTTATTCATTAACTTCTATATTTTCCTCTATGAGAATGTAAGATTTCTTTCCTTACTTTTTCTTTTTCTGCTTTTTTTTAAGACAGGGTCTTCCGAATCCCAGGCTGCCTTTGAACTCACTGTATAGCCAAGGATGGCCTGATCTTTCTGTCTCTACCTTCCAGGTGCTGGGATTAAAGGAGTATGCTACTATGGGAATGAGTTTTCTGAGGCCCCCCCTCCCCTCCCCTTCTTCCTTTTTGGCTTCTCCTTTCTTTTCTTTCTTTTTTTGAGGCAGAGTCCCCTGTGTGTCCCAGACTGTCCTTGACCTCCCAATTCTCTTTCTCCCACCTTCTCAGTGTCTGGGATTACAGATCTGCTCTACCGAGCATTGCTAAAAAGTCACTTTAAAATGCCCAATTTTGTGTGGTAAATAGTGTTCTACAGACTTAGCTTCCCCGTTTGAACCGCTGTGGACCGTAGGTGCTGGCCAGCGAGTGCTGCGTGGGGCCTGCTGGCCTCACTGTATCCCACCCCAGTCCCATCTCCCAGCGAAGCTCCAGCTTCGTTCCTTCCTCTGCTCCGGGAAGCCCACACATTCCTTTCCCTCCGCACCGATCTGCTCCTTCGTGGGAGAGTCTGGGCTAGGGGACAAGAACAGGGCTGTGATCCTGGTCATCCACAGACCCCACCTGAGCTCCCCCACTCCCTACAGGTCACCTTCCAGGTGAAGGTCACAGCCACAGAGTGTATCCAGGAGCAGTCGTTTGTCATTCGGGCACTGGGCTTCACCGACACGGTGACCGTACAGGTCCTTCCCCAGTGCGAGTGCCAGTGCCGGGACCAGAGCCAGGAGCGGGGCCTCTGCAGAGGCAAGGGTTCCATGGAATGTGGCATCTGCAGGTGAGGCAGGTGCAGACAGCCCACCCATGGGGCAGGTGGTTTGTAGGCATCCCCACAGCCCAGCTCTCCCTGACCCTGGGGACCCTGAGCTGTTAGACTGGCAACATGCAGCCAGAGTGCCTCTGGGGAAGGTGACCACTCCTGGCAGCCTGGACCCTATAGGCCACCCTGTCAGGGATGCTCTGCCTCAGGGAGGAGAAAGGATACAGTACACCCAACAGGGGGCATTAACTGGTGACATGGGTGCTTCAGCAGCCCATACACAAGAACAACCCTCATCCTACTGCTGAGCCCCTAGCCGTCACCTGCCAGTGCCACCACAGGTCCTGCCCAAATGGCACTCTCCTTCAGAGGGAGGGATTGGTTATCCAGCCTTCAGAGAGCACTCAGGTTCCATGGCCTTCATTTCCTGTTAGCCCTCAGCACCACAGTGGGGACAGTGAAGACTCAAGCCCACTAACCAGGGCCCACCTACCACATCAATTCCCCCATGCTCCCTTAATGCCCTGATAGCACCAACTAGCTCCGTATCTATGAGAGAGGGAAACTGAGACCCACAGCAGAGATTGAAGAAGTGGGGAGAAGGGGGTCACTGAGCAAGGAGTCAGGAGTGCCCCCCCATAGATACTCACTGCACATGTCTCTGTGGCTATCCCCTGGCCCAGTGGCACCCTGTCCATAGCCTCCCCATAGGGCTAAGCTGACTTGGCCGGAGGATTGGACTATTGATCAATGACTTGTGCAGCCTCTTCCTCCAGGAAGCAGGACACTGCAGGACTGTCAGGGTTGACAATTACCATCCTGGTCCTACTAAGCTATGTATCATGTCCCCACATTCTCCTGTCAACCGAATGATGCCAAGTCCCCACAGGCCCTCGCCACAGGCCCAAGGTCAGTAGGGACAGATACTGGCCACTTGGGACAAGCCATCAACTTGGCTCTCAGGTAATTCTCGGCTTTCCAGAGATGTCATGCTGACAGGACGGTCACCTGTATGCCTTCAGGGACATCCTTGTCTAGTTCATGACATAGGCTCAGGAGACCTTTGAAAAAAGAGCAGATGTGATATGTCATTCATTACAGGTGCCTATATGAGAGCTGGGCCCAGAGGGACTGGAGATGCCCCCATCCCTGGAGGGGGCCTAAGCACAATCCCTCCCACATCATCCCAGGTGTGACTCCGGCTACATTGGGAAAAACTGTGAGTGTCAGACACAGGGCCGGAGCAGCCAGGAACTGGAGGGAAACTGCCGGAAGGACAACAGCTCCATCGTGTGCTCGGGGCTGGGGGACTGCATCTGTGGGCAGTGTGTGTGCCACACCAGCGATGTCCCTAACAAGATGATCTTCGGGCAGTACTGCGAGTGTGACAATGTCAACTGTGAAAGATATGACAGCCAAGTCTGCGGTGGCCCGTGTGAGTGGCTGGGTCCCAGCCCTGATAGGGGCTGTCGGCAGGGGCTTTCTGATCCATTTACACCAGGGGATCTTGAGTTGGGGACAGATGGACAGATGATTGCTAGTCTCGCTGAGCTACTCAGCAGCAGCAGCAGCAGCAGCAGGACCTGGTGAACCTCCTCCTTACCAAGCTGTTTCTGTGTCTGTGTGGGTCAGGTATCCTTCTGGGAGGTGGGTGCAAGGGAGCAGTTTGGGGGAGGGGCTTCTTGGTGGTTTGGCCTCACAGGGAGGTGAGTCATAGTGACCTCAGCTATTTTCCAGCAAGGGGCACCTGTGCCTGTGGTAAGTGTACTTGCAAGAAGGACTTCCAGGGCTCAGCCTGCCAGTGCAAGAGGTCCACTGAGGGCTGTCTGAACACGCGGCTGGTGGAGTGCAGTGGCCGCGGTCAGTGCGAGTGCAACCGGTGCAAGTGTGACAAAGACTACCAACTGCCCCTATGTGAGGACTGTCCTGGCTGCCCCTCGCCCTGCAGCAAGTTCATGTGAGTGTCCCCATTGCCCACAATGGACTCACCGCCAGGCCATCTGGGAGCCCCCAGGGAGCACCAGTGCACTGTAGTTCTCAGCAGAGTCCAGCAGAGCCAGTACCCTGCTGTACTCCCATCCTCTGCATGCCCACAGGGGTCCCCCCTCCACAGGGGTCCCCCTCCACAGGGGGTCCTCCCTCCACAGGGGATCCTGCCTGTGCTCCCGTGAGCCACTGGACCAGGTTTGTGTCGACACGGGCTCTGTCCTTCACACACTCCCAGGAGCACCTGCTTCCCTCACTCACACCCTGCACTGAGCCCTGAGAGCTCCCAGGCTCTTCATTGGGGACCATCTGGTGTACAGATGTTCACACCCCTTACACACAGTGCACCCTGGCAGAACTGTGCTCCCTGAATCATCCTTGCAGCCTTGCACAGCTCTGCAGCCTGGCCCACCTGAGTACCTCCTCATACCAGCATATCCGCATGGACCTGGGCACCCTGACATACCCATGTACTTTCACACATTCACACACCCTGACACACCAGTGCACCTTTGTACTTCTGTGCATCTCTGCATGCCTCTGCACCTTGACATACCAGGGCTCCCTTGCATAACCGTGCGTCTCTGGATACCCTGCTCCATGGTCCGTCTATGCACCTTGAACGTCATCACACCATTTCATGCCTTGTGCTCTTGTACCCACTACACCTCCACAGCTCTTGTGCCGAGTGCCTGAAATTCAACAAGGGTCCCTTTGAGAAGAATTGCAGTGTAGCATGTGCAAGGCTGACTCTGCAAAGCTCCCTCTCAAAGGTCAAGAGCGTCTGCAAGGAGCGGGACTCGGAGGGCTGCTGGATGTCCTACAACCTGCAGCAATTGGATGGGAGAGAGACTTACAACATCCACGTAGAAGAGAACCGAGGTGAGCCTGGGTGGTGCCAGGATCCGGCACAGATAGGACATGGTGACAAGAACTCTGACCATAAGTCCACAGACAGTGAAGGTACTACAGAGAGAAGAGTTTGTCTTCTGAGGGGCAAGGCAAGCCCAGCTGCAGTGGGGGAGCCATCCAGGACATGTGGGCAGGGCAGCATTGCAGGCGGGCTGGCAGCCATGCCACCGTCCTGCCCCATGCCACTCTCTTTCCTTTGTTCTCCTTACCTGGCCCTGTATGAGGAGATGGACAGCAGAGCCCCTGGTGGTAACTCCAGTACATATTGGACACGGGGACACCGCAATGCCACACCACCTAGCCAGAGCATCTCCCGTTCGTTGGGAGAGTCCTGAGGGATGATGCCCATTGGCTACCTCAGAATCCCCTGTGGAGTTCAGGGAAGCTGAGCTGCTACTGTCCCTAAGTGCTGTTTGTTGCCCTTCAACCTGGCTCTGGTCCTGCCAAGCCCAAGAATACCCGTGAACTTGGAGATCCTGACCTGGTCTCTGGATTCAAACTCCAGGGGGAGGAGGCACATGGCCCTGCTCTGGACCAACAGCCAATGCAGTGTGAGGCTGCAGACACTAGAGAGGGGTCTCTGGAGCCTGTTCTCCTAGGGAGGAGGATGAGATCATTGAGACAAAGGAAAGCGGAGTGTCTGTAGTTAGGACAATCAGCACCCCATGGGGCCCACAAGTCTTGGATGGGTTCATCTCTGTTCCTGGACATGCCAGGAAGCCATTAGAAGTTTCCAGAAGAAAAGTGACCACACTCAGTGGGCTTTTTTCTTTTTTTGGTCTTTTTGAGACAGGGTCTCCCATAGCCCCAGCTGTCCTGGAACTCGCGATGTAGACCAGGCTGGCCTCGAACTCACAGAGATCCACCTGCCTCTGCCTCTGGAGTGCTGGGATTAAAGACATGCACCACCACACCTGGCTACATAATTTTTTTTTTTTAAAGCCCAACTGAAGGCCAGGTGTGGTGGCTCATGCCTTTAATCCCAGCACTCAGGAGGCAGAAGCAGGCGGATCTCTGTGAGTTCGAGGCCAGCCTGGTCTACATAATGAGTTCTAGGCCAGTTAGGGCTACAGAGAGACCCTGTCTCAAAAAGACCAAAAAAAAAAAAAGACAGCAAAAATTTTTATCATTTTTATTTTATGTGTATGCATGTATTGCCTGCATGTATGTAAGTGCACCCGTGTCGTGCAATGCCCATGGAGGACAGAAGAGGCTGTTGGATCCCCTGGAACTGGAGTTATAGACAGTTATTAGCTGCCATGTGAGTGCTGGGATTCGAACCTGTGTCTTCTGCAAGAATAGTCAATGTTCTTAACCGCTGAGCCCTCCCCTCCAACCCCAAGTTGGGCTTTTTCAAAAAAGCCTCTTATTATTGTCAGTGCTATTCTTCCTTTTATTATTTTTTGGGGGGGGCAGTCTTTTTGAGACAGGGTCTCCCTGTAGCTCCAGCTGTCCTGGAACTCACTAGGTAGACCAAGCTGGCCTTGGACTCACAGAGATCTGCCTGCCTCTGCCTCCTGAGTGCTGGGGTTAAAGGCATGTGCTACCACGCCGACTTCTATTATTTTGTGTGTGTGTGTGTGTGTGTGTGTGTGTGTGTGTGTGTGTGTGTAGATCAAAGGACAACCCCTCAGGAGTCCATCCTCTCCACCATGGGATCCAGGGATCAAACTCAGGTTACCACTGGCTGGAGAGATGGCTCAGTAGCTAAGAGCACTGACTGCTCTTGCAGAAGACCCAGATTTGGTTCCCAGCACCCACAAGGCAGCTAACAACTGTCTTTAACTCCAGTTCCAGGGGAGCTAATGCCCTCTTCTGACCTTCTTGGGCATTGTGTGAACAAGTGCACGTATATGCATGCAGGCAAAACATTTATACACATAAACAACCTTCAGGTCACCAAGTTTGCACAGCAAGCACCTTTACCACCTGAGCCATCTTACTAGCCCTAAGCTATGTTTTTAACAACCCAACTGGCCACTTTGCCAGGGTATAAAGTGAGTGCTATACTGTCAAGGTGTGGTGTGGACATGATCCTAGCAGGAACCAGGTGGGCAGAGTCCTATCAGAGAACAAGGTGGGCATGGTCCTTTGAGGGGCCAGGTAAAGAGAGTCCCCTCAGGAAACAAGTGAACATGATCCTGTCAGGAGCCAGGTAAACACAGCTTTATCAGGGGACAGGGTGGACACAATCCTATTATTGTATAAAGTAGTTGCTGTTCCTGTTACTGACCAAGTGGACACATCATGTCAGAGCTGTGGTTGGAAGCTGCTGCTGGGCCCAGGACCTAACAGAGCGGAGATGGGCAGAGTGGGCTGGGTCGGTATGGATAGAGCCTCCCTTTGAATGGAACACAGTGGAGAAGAACTGGGAGAAACAGGTGATAGGCCCAGGGGTCCCCAACAGATGAAGAGAGAAGTTAAGGATTAGAACAGTTTGGAAGTATGTGGAATAAAAATGGCCAAAGATGTTGGAGGTGAGGGATTTGGGCAGACAGATATAATGGAATGGCGTGTGGGCAAGGGTCCCTCCCAGTCACTCTGATAGGCATACTTGGGTTCATGTCTGGTTTTGTACACCCTTGGCCAAGTTATTTAATATTCGTGAGGACAATGGGCCTTTCCAAAAAGGCCAGGATGATAGGAGAGGACTCATGTGAATGTCAGAGTCAAGGCCCAGCAGGAAGTGGTCCACAAGTTAGTGCCTCTGTCCCCTGGTCAAGGCCAACCTTGTGCCTGGTACAGTCAGGGCCCACACTCAGGCCAGATCAGGACTGGGCCGGGAGACCATCACAAAGCTGCCTCAGCTGCCAGAGCACAGGCCTCTGGTTCTTGGTACTGGTTACCATAGAACAGCATTGCCAGGATGTGCCAAGTCAAGCTCAGAGCTCACCATCAGTGCCCTTTTCCTACATTTCACAGTGAGATGGCCAGGGGTGCCTCAGGCATGTCCCCACCCTGAGAACTGATACAGTATCTGCAGGCCCTAGCAGGTGGTGACCAGGGAGGTTGGTGTCTCATCCAGGCTCTCCTCAGGTTGGCCATTCACCTGGCCTCCGCTTCACAGAGGCCAGGCCAAGTGGCCTGGAGGTGTCTGTCATCTGGAAACACAGGGCCTGGCCTTGTTTTGGGGGGCAGGGCGGCAGGACTCGATTCTTTCATCCACCCATGAGGCATGGAGAACAATAAAGTCCCCTCCCACCCCCATGGCAGCATAGGCATAGTACATTGACTGTTGTGGGGGAAGGACTGACACTTTGGGGCATCTGCTTCCTCCTTAGAGTGCGTGAAAGGCCCCAACATCGCCGCTATCGTAGGGGGCACTGTGGCAAGTGTTGTGTTAATTGGCGTCCTCCTCCTGGTCATCTGGAAGGCTCTGACCCACCTGAGTGACCTCCGGGAGTACAGACGCTTCGAGAAGGAGAAGCTCAAATCTCAGTGGAACAATGTAAGTGACTCTGCTTGGGCGACCCACGTGGAGCATGCAGCCTCCCCTCCTCTGTAACTGCTCACAGTGAGGGCCACAGCTGCCCCAGAGGGATGACATATCCCCTTCCCTGGCGGCTCAGCCTCTGAGCGTGTGCTGAGGTGTTGCCCTGAGGCTCAGGCCCTGGGAAGGCTACTCTTCCTGGCTGGCTCCTCAAAGTGACATCTACTGACCTGGTGGCTTCCTAGATCATCCCTAATGCCCCTCTGCACTGATGAGTCTGTGTTTGGTTTCTCCCCAGGACAACCCCCTCTTCAAGAGCGCCACCACAACAGTCATGAATCCTAAATTTGCTGAAAGCTAAGGCATCTGCAAAGATGAGGTGTCAGGACCAATCAAATGAAACTCTCAAACCATGCCTCCTCCACCCTGTGGCCATGACGTGGCTTACAGTTCAGCACAGACCAAAAGCCCATTCTGTTTCTTTCTGCCTTTATAATGTCAGGGCTGCCAGGTTTCCCCAGATTCACCTTCTGACCTGAGCCATCTCCACAGAGCTTTAAGAAGGACTTCTCAAGTCTCAAGAGGTTCTACATACTTCTACATAAAGGAAGACAGCTGTTTCAGTACAGGTGGCACTGATTTATTTATATTTAAACTTATCAGGGTATAAAACCATATCCCATTTATTAAACTGTTAGACAATCATGTGTATAAAAAATAATAAAGCTTTTATTCAGGCTGTCCACAGAAGGTGGGCTCTATGGGGTCCCCCAAGGTAAGGTGGCTGACCTCCAAGGCACTTTGTCTGGCCTTCTGGCTGTTCCTTCCCATCTTGAGGGTTCAGGTGGGCTTTGACTTTGGGGTGGGCTTCGGCTCTGTTTTTTCCTTCTTCATCCATGAGCCTGTGTATATGGAGCCCTCCCAGCCAAATCCTGTGTGTGGCTACCGAACAAAGGTGTCAGGTGACAGAAATGGTACCCTCCCTCCTCAGCTGCCTACCCCTGCCTGTGGTTCAGACACGGGAAGATGGGGTGGCCAGGGCATAGCCAGGAGGCACTGGGTAAGAAGTTCTTTCCTTACATGCTTTTCTGGGGGATGACCTGGAAATCACTGTTGATCCAAATTCTGAATGAGTGAATGAGCCCAAGTTTTGTGTGGTTATGATGTTCCTGGGTCTCTGACAGTGATGACCCAGTATATTAGGTACTTTTCTGAAAAGATCTGCTTTGCCTCATGGTCTCAGATGGTTTGACCCATGGTTGCTTGGCCCCATGGGTTTAGGCAGAGCATCAAGTCTGCAGGAATGTGTGGTGGGAGCAGCTCACCTCCCAGGATCCAGGAAGCAGAGAGTGACAGAAAGGGGCTGGCAAGAAGCTACCCCCAGAGACCCGTTTCCCCTAGTTAAACCCACCTCCTAAATCTCCCAATATAGTGTCAGTAGCTAAGGACCAGCCCCCAACACAAGAGCTTTTTGAGAGGGATACTTCATATCCAAACCATAATATCCAAGTATGTAAATGGCTGCCCTGTGCCTGTGCCCAAGAACTCAGAGCTGAAAGACTGAGCACAGCCAGGGAGCTCCTCAAGATAGCTTCACATTCTTCAGACAGAGGCATTTGCTCTCCCTTAGAGATTCTTATGCACATGTGAAGGAGACATGTATGTATGAGTGCAGGCTGTGTCCTGTGTGGGTACGTATTTTCACACGACACCCGCCTTTTAGCTTTTCTTTAGAATGTATTTATTAAATATCCAGCAAAATCACTGATGAAACATCCCATTCATTCCAGAAGTACCAATGGTACGTACCGCCTGCCAGGCAGGGTGGATGACACAGTGGGACCCCTTCCCTCAAGGAGATCCCCAGAGCTCAGGACAGGGTGAGCCTGGTGGACGCTGGGAGGAGACCCCAGGGGCAGATAACTCGGGGCTTGTGTTAAGGCTCTGCTGTGGGGCTCTGTCTAGCGCTGCCGGCTGGCAGTGCTTGCTGCTGCCTTCCTCCTGGCGTTCCTTGTACAGCTCCAGGACATTTGCCAGGCCCCCTGGGAGCTGCACTGGCAGAGGCAGTCTGCCTGGCCTCAGAGGCCTTGTCATGTTTCCTGGGCACACCCACTCCTTCCTGGAGAGTTCTGCTATGGTCAAGCACCTCAGGGAGCCTCCTCTTCCTGGCTTGATGCCCTCCTCCCACCATGCTGAGTGTGACTAGGTGGGTGGCCCCTTTGTGCCCTCTCACCCCATCTGGGAGACCACACTACTCCAGCAGCCCTTGCCTGGGACCCACCTTGTGCTATCATGTGAATGTTGGTATCTCTCCTAGATTTACCTTATTCCAAAATGCAACAGTGGTAGAAGTGGGGTCTTTGAGAAGGGTGAGGGTGGGACTCCCAGAGTGGAATTAGAGGTGAGGGAGCATGATAGCACCAATCATCCTGAGAGTCAAGGTGCTGTCTCAGCAGAGCTAACCCTCACCAGCCACCAGATCTGCTGGAGCGTTAATCCCCAGCCTCTAGAACCCTGAGCAAAGAGTTTTTGTCATTTATAAATTCCCCAGCCTCCAGGAAAGGGAGGCAGAGGCAGGCAGATCTCTGTGAGTTCAAGGCCAGCCTGGTCTACATAGTGAGTTCCAAGCCAGCTGGGGCTACAGGGAGGCCCTGTCTCAAAAAGACCAAAAATTAAATATAAATAAATAAATTCCCCAGCCTCAGGTATTTTGTTAGAACATTAGAAACAGACTGAGACATTTATTTATAAATGTGTTTGAAATAGTCACCAAAGATCAACTTTTAACCTTATTAGGAAGGCTATGTATGTCCTTCCATATCCAGAAAAAGATCTGGTTTTCTCTCATCTATCTGAAATATTCAAAACAAATTGAACAGCACTGGATAACTTTCAGACAAAGCTGGCCTGTAGGTTGTATTCATCTCCTCAGCTCACAAAGGGTATAGACTCTGCAGGTGCCCAGACTCCACCAGCCCCCTCCCAAGTTACAGTCTCCACTCCAAAAGCCCCTCCCCCCTGCCCTCTCTCCACAGTAGGTATGGTTTCCACCCTGCCCCCCTGCCCTCCTTCCACAGTAGGTGTGCTTTCCACCACACCCCACCCCTGCTCTCCCTTCTCTGGAGCCCTTCCCGTGGGCCCCTTGGCAGGTCCCTTCCCAGTGACCCCACAATGGACACCTGTCCCTTTCTCACAAGATGGAAGTGGACTCTCCTGACACTTGCACTGGCCTGGGTCCCCACAGCTCTGGCCCCAACACCTTGGTTCTGCTCACCGGAGGCCTATTTCTGTGAAAGCCCAGGGACGTAGCGCTGTTGTTGTAGGCTTTCCTCTCTAGAGACAGGCTTGGAGGCCTGAGTGGGCTGGTCTCACCTAGCAATCTAAGCCAGGCTGGTCTTTTGTTTAGAACACTGGTCCTTCTTATGAACTAGCATTGTGTGGAACTTCTTTCGTCCATTTTTATTCTGGTGCTGGGAACTGAACCCAGGGCCTCATACACGTGTGGAAGTGTCAGAACCCAGGCCAGACACTGCTGAGGTCACTCTCATCTGCAGCCTGCCTGTCTTCCTCTATAGCTGATTCTGTGTGCAAACCTCAGGATAACCCATTCCAAGCTGTCTGGGGCCATCAGTGACTCTATTCATATGACAGATACACATTAGACAAATGATCCTCCTCCTGCTCCTCCCACATCCTCAAGGCTACACATTCCTTTCTCAAGATGCAAGGCTTCCCTCTCCAATGCTGTTGCCCTGGAATCCAATGGCCTGATCTTCAGCATGCCCTTTGAACTACTTACTTACCATATGGTACAGAACCTCCCCCTTCCTCTGTGACCTATAAGGACCCCACTCTGCCACATAGGCCTGAGCTCTCTCCAGAACTCCCACCATGCTGTCTGTCTATGGCATTAACTCTTTTAATAACTCTCTTATCCCAAAGGACAGTCCTCCTCAGGGTCCCCCTTGAGCCCTAAACCTGAGATCTTTCAGCATGCAATGCACCCCTAACCCTCTCTCCTTCACCCCATCTCTAAGCCAGCCTCTATGTATTCAATAATTTCCTCTTTGGCCAGTCACAGTAACCACATGAACCCCTCAGTCCTGGGACACTAGAACCCCACCATAGCTGGAACCAGGCCATTTGTCTAATACTGCCCGACATTTAAACAGCCATCTCAAGCACAGTGACGGTAAGCTGAGTCATGGGCAGGAAGTGAGACCCCCTAAATGGCTCTGGGTCCGTGTCAGCTCCGCTTCTTGGCTATGTCACCTTGCATGCATGACGTCTCTCATCTTGTCAGAAGTGCTGCTGCAGGAATCACTGGAGGAGGTGTCCCCAGAAGGACTGGGAGAGCCTGGCTGCTTATGAGGGGTGGAAAACTAGAACATTCTAAATCCTTGAGCCTCAGAGGCCTCAGGTAACATGAACCAGGTCCAAAACGGGTGAAGCAGGCACCATCTGGCAGCCTCCTCAGGACCATCCGGAACTCCAGAGAAGCAGGTTCTGCATCCTCCTTTAATCCAACCATGGACAATGGGCTCCTCCTTCTTCCATGCTTCCCTCACCCCAGAACCCTGCTGACCTTTGTCTCCCAAAGACCCAGACCTGACCCCTTGCTAGCTCCCCTTCAGGAGTCCAAAGTCCCAGCCCCTCAAGCAAGTGCTTTGTCCTCCCCATGTGGAACACCCTGTGTGGAGCACCTGGTGGCTAAATGTGCTGTGACTCAGGAGGAAGTGCTATGTACCTCACCCTGATCTTTGGATGGGATTCTGTGACTGACTAAGGAAATGTCCTCAAAGTGAGGCATCACCCAGCCATACAGAGACTACCAAACAAAAACTAAAAATCCCCAGCGAGTGACTCAGGTATCTTAAGTCCTGGGGTGTGGCCCTGGAACTCCTAGAACTGGTGGGCTCTGGCCCCATCCTGCATGACTGGTCCGGGCTGTGGGTGCCCTTTCTGTAGCTCTGTGTGCCACCCAGGGTGATGCTGTTTTGTGTCCACTGAATTCCTTAGCCATCTCTTTGTTGCTGTGTGGCTAAAACAGGAATGTGGGCTATACTGCGTGTGCACATGGGGGGGGGGCGTATGTGTGAGGTGTATTTGGTGTTCCCCCCCACCAGAGTGCTGGTTTACAGGCATATGCACAACTGGCTTTTTATGCTTTGGTCTGGAGATTGGAGCTCAAATCTGTGCTTGGACAGTAAGGGCCATTACCCACTGACCCATCTCCCCAATCCCCAGACTATGCTTTTTTTGAACTTCTGCATCACTATCCAGTTGTATTTTATAATGCTGTTGCCAGTGGCATCATTCAAAAGGTACTGTTCCTTGCACGTGGGCTAATGTGTACCAATGTCCTCTAACCCTCTAACCCTCTAACCCTCGCTAAACTAGGACTGTGGGGCCAGTGAGGTAAGAGCAGGCTCAGCAGGTAAGAGCACTTCCTGTGCAGCCTCTGACCTCCACTTGTGCTATGATCACACACACACACACACACATACACACACACACACAATCATACATACACAGTAACACACATACACTGTTAAATTAAATTAAAACATTTAGTACTATGTGCTTTGACGCTAGGACAAGAGCAAGCTTCTTGCTCCAGACGTCTGATACCAAGGTTCATGGCTACCATTTCTGAAAGGGGGTTTTCGGGCATCTATGTGTGTAACGGATGATTCTCTGAGGCTACAAAGTGCTTTCCCTGGAAGCCGTGGAGCCTTTGCACCCCCTTGGCTTACTGCCTCTGTAGCCTCGGCTGCACAGAAGAAAGTGAGACCTGCTACTTACAGCATTCTCTGGCACACTGACACACCAGTGACCTGTTGTCCTTATACAGGTATGTTAAGCATAGACTTCCTGTAAATGCCATACCAGGCCAGAGAAGTCTGCCAGAGTCAGCAGGCACAGGTTCGACTCAGGTCTGCCCTGAAGGGATTGGGCAGGGACATTGACCCTGGGCCACAGTCTTCGGTGTATGGGCGTCTGATTCCGGGCTCCTGCTTGTTTCCTGGTGGCAGCTGAAGCTCAGTGTGGCTGTGTAACCTGGTAGAGATCATGGCAGGGTAGATAGGAGGAGTTGAAACTTGAGCCTGTCATGACTTCACGGTGACTGCAAACACAGTGACAACCTCAAAGGGAATGACACAGTGTATTCTTTTTGTTTTTTGGTCTTTTTTTTCTTTTTGAGGCAGGGCCTCCCTGTAGCCCCAGCTGTCCTGGAACTCACTATGTAGACCAGGGTGGACTTGAACTCACAGAGATCTGCCTGCCTCTGCCTCCCGAGTGCTGGAACTAAAGGCATGTGCCACCACACCCTGCAAGACCTACTTTGTTTTTAAGATTTTCTTTCTTCTTAGCACCCTCCCACAGAAACTGCAGACTATGGCCTTGTGATACACCATATATAAAAGTACACACACTTCCGGGCGTGGTGGCACACGCCTTTAATCCCAGCACTCGGGAGGCAGAGGCAGGCGGATCTCTGTGAGTTCAAGGCTAGCCTAGTCTACATAGTGAGTTCCAGGACAGCTGGGGCTACAGGGAGACCCTGTCTCAAATAGACCGAAAAAAAAAAAAGTACATTTGTCAGAGCGCCAACCTCTTTGGCACCAGGCTTGTGTGCACCCTAACCGCAAGCCCTTTCTTTTCTTTTTCTTTCTTCTTTCTCTCTCTCTCTCCCTCCTTCCCTTCCTTCTTTCTTTTTGAGACAGGGTCTCCTTGTAGTCCCAGCTGTCCTGGAACTCACTACATAGACCAGGCTGGCCTCACAAAGAGCTGCCTGCCTCTGCCTCCCAAGTGCTGGGATTAAAGACGTGTGCCACCACGCCCAGCACCTATTCTTTATTTTAAATGAAAGCTGAACGTGAGGTTCTTCTGTAAATTTAACTCCAATGCTGCCTTGGGTCCTTGAACACCAAAGAACCCAGAGGCCAATACGCAGAGGCTAACAATGGTGTCTTGACCAACAAGTAGTGACTTCCACACTGTCCCTAGAGGAAGAGGGCAGTTTACATTCCTAACCATTCTGAAGCCCTTCCAGAGAGTGTGTCAGAGTTTTAGGCAAAAGCCTGGCTCTGGGAGTGGCAACAGGCTACTCATGCTCCAACTGGAGACCAGTGCTGGCAAAAGTTAGGGGAGAGCTAATCGACAAGGCCATGTCGGGAAGCAGAATGGGGCTCAAGATCCCCATGGCCATCTCTGTGCACTGACATGGCCTTTGGTTTAGTAAAGGAAGAGCTAGAGCCAGGCAGAAGGCTGCATAATTAAACAATCTTGGTCATGGTGTGGTCTGGTTGATTACTGTTTCAGTTCTGTTTGCAAGGTGGTGTCTAAGAAGTCCTGACTGCAGGAGGGCCACTGGTTACCTAGAGTTGGGGGGGGCTGCGCTGCATTTCCTGCCTTAGGGGATCCCTCCCACTCTCGTTTCTCTTTTCCTTAATCTCTCTTTTGGTTTGTGTCTGTTTTATTGAAACAGGGTTTCCCCGTATCCCCAGCTGGCTTTGGAACTTGCTAAGTAGATCAGGCTGGCCTCAGTCTCAACAAAGATCCACCTGCCTCTGCCTACTGTGTGCTGGGATTAAAGGCGTACCCCACCAGGTCCTCTCCCCCTTAATATCTAATAAAGAGCATTTCACTTTTCTTACTACCACGACTGTCTTTAATTTTCAAGACCCGAACGTGGGAGCCACTGTCCCACACTGATCTCTGGTGTCCAGCACCCTAAGTCCTTGGTTCGTATACAGCTGAGCAGAGAAAGGCACCTCCACCCTCACACTGTTAGGTGTGGAGAGGAGTTTATTCTTAGGAGACCAACACATGGATCATTCCATAAAGACTTCAGTCTCTTGTTCACGTTTTTTGGGGGCATTTTTTCTCATAGATTTATACTCAGGCAAGCAGAAGGTAAACAGCGCAAATGTGGTAATTAAATACAGTGGTTTACAGGGACTTCTATCGTGGGAAGGGGGTGGTGCTGGTGGTGGGAGGGATTCCTGTTCACCTCCCCCTTGTCTTCCTTTTATCTTTGGGATTCTCCCGCTCCAAAGTTCTTAATTACCATCACATGGAGGAGCTTTTACCAACCATCTGATGTTTTTTAAATTCCCATTATAGTACTGCACCACGAAGTTAACGTTCTTCCATCACAGTCAACCTCCTCTAGCGAGTTGTTTTGCCTTGAGACCAGCTCTCAGGTGGTCCAGACCTGACCTGACCCTCCGCCTCTTCCTCCCCGGTGCTGGGTTATAGGTGTGTGCCAGGATTCCCGGTTTATGAGGTTCTGGGGATGGAACCCCGGTTGCTAGGCAGCACTGCGACTGAGCTCCACGCCCAGCCCTCTCCCCGGGATTAAAGCGGTTCAGAAACAAGTCTGAAAGCTAATGTACGTAGTAACCCCCGGCCCACGGACACCAGAGGCCACGGTGGCGGGAGGCCGGGGCATCGGCAGCACTTGGGGTCACTGTCCCACCAACCCCCACTCCGCTCTGGGGTGAGCCTCGCCCCCTCCGGGTTCTCTGCAGCTCTACAGTCCCTTAGGACCTGCGTGGCACCGAGTAGCGTAAGCCCAGCACAGGCCCCACAACCCAGCACCTCGGCCCGAGCGCGCATGCACACTAGACCGCCCGCCCGCCCGCGATCCTCCACTGCGCACGCGCGCTGGGCCCGGCGCCCGTCACAGCCCCCTCCCCCTGCCACCCCCCGCGGCGGTCCCTGCGGTGCGCAGGCGCACTGGGCCTCAGTCGCTCCCGGAGGCGGACTCAGGGCGAGGGGGCGGAGCGAGCTGGAGACTGCGGCTGCGCACCGCTGGCCCCGCCCCCAGGCCCGCTTCCGGCGCTTCGGGCCTGGGGCGGACACCCGAGCCGGTCGGCGCTGCGTTGTCGGAGGTGCTGCCGCCGTGCACCATGTTGCCTGCTGACCACCGGCCGACGCCGCTCTGCGGACCCCGCCTGGGGGCCGCGCTGCTGCTACTGCTGCTCCCCGCCGCCTGCGCTCAGGGGCCGGCGGGAGAGGGTGAGGACGGGGGGAGGACCGAGGGACCCCGGGAGGGGGGTGACGGAGGGGAGGACAGGAGGACCCCAGGAGGGGGCGAGGACCCCGGGAGGAGAAGTGAGGATGGGAGGATCCCCAGAGGGGGGAGGATCGCGGGAGGGAGGATGGGCGGACCCCCGGGAGCTGGCCTGGCCCTGTGTTCTCAGGCTTTGAGGCTGTCTGATTCGGCTTCCTCCCTGGGGGCATCTGCATTGCTGCCTGTGCCAGGTGCTGAGTCCCTGCAAAGAGCTTGACCCGAGCCGAGCCGGGCGGTAGTTCTGGACTGGGGGAGGGGGGCAAGTTCGAAGCTGGGAGGGTCGACTTGTTCAGCTTACGACCTTTGCTTTAGGGTCGATGGGGCCCAGCCGGAGGGACAGGATTTTCTTAAACCATGTTAGCTCAGGCTCTCAAGGTGTCTTTAACTCTCTGGCCTGTTTTCTCTCTCTGACCTTTGGGTGTTATTACTGCTCAGTGTTTAAGTTTCTTATCTGCCCCCCAGGGGTGCCTGTGACACTCGCAGGCCAGCTGTCTTTGGACTGTGTTGCTAAGGAGCAGACCTGCACTGCCTAGGGGACTTGGGGCTCAGATCTCCAGTGAGGCCTTTACTCTGCGTAGACTGCTGGAGAGCCTGTGGTGGCACACGATGCCTTCCCAGATCCTGGGGGCTGTTTGCTGAATGGATAGACCGTAGACCCAGCTTGTGAGGAGAGTTTGGCCTGGCCCCTGAATGGCGGGGAATTACACACATCCTTTCTCCAGGGTCCAGCTGAGAGGTTTTTCTCTGGGGTGGGACAGCTGTTTCTTATCCGGGACACCATGAAGGTGCCCTCCGGAGGTGCATTTCCTTGTCCCTGGAGAGAGGCACAGCTTACACCACCAGTCCCCTCTTCCTCCAGAACATGTGCTCATTGTGAGATTTTTACTGCCGGGTGTTGTATAGGGAGATGACTGTTTAAAGCATTTTGTCTTTGCAAGGATATTGCATAAATTTAGAATACACCACAGCTGCCCCAAAATGCTGTTTAAAAATATTTTTCTGCTGGGCGTGGTGGTGCACGCCTTTAATCCCAGCACTCGGAAGGCAGATGCAGGCAGATATTTGGGAGTTCCAAAGCCAGTCTGGCCTACAAAGTGAGTTCCAGTTTTTTTTCTATGTTTTGTTGGAGGCTGACATTATGAACCACAGTGGATTAAAGGTCCTTCATGAAGTCACAGATAACTTTTTTTTTTTAGTCTTTTTTGAGACAGGGTCTCCCTGTAGCCCCAACTGGCTTGGAAGTTACTATGTAGACCAGGGTGGCCCTGAACTCACAGAGATCCGCCTGCCTCTGCCTCCCAAGTGCTGGAATTAAAGGCGTGCACAACTTGCCAGGCTTGTTAAAGATACTTTTTAGAAAGTATTTTACGTACATAAGTGTATTGCGTGAATGTATGTAGATGCACTCGTGTTGTGCAGTGCTTTCTCAAGTCAGAAGAGGGCTTTGGATTCCACTGGAATTGGAGTTATGGATGGTTGTTAGCTGTTATGTGGGTGCTGGGACTAGAACCCGGGTCCTCTGCAAGAGCAGCCATTGTTCTTAACCACTGAGCCATCTCTCCAATTCCGAAGTTAAACTTTGATAGGTTTTGGTGTGTGGAATCCCTAGCCCAGAGCTTCATCTTGGGGAAGGATTGTCCCTAAAAGGAACGTGGCTGTTCTTCCACAGGAATACTCAGGCACAGTGGTGGCTGGCACAGGTCACCAGGTGGTGAATCCTTACGGTAGGACTCAGTTTGGGAAGGAATCTGCAGTTCCCCTCACCCAGAGGAACCTGCCTTAGTGAATGATACAGGGTGTGGGCTGTCCCCTCCCCCCTTTTTCCTCCTGAGACAGTATGGTAACCAGCCTGTTCTGTCTAAGGAAGACATTGACATGAGGTGCTGAGTTCTGGGCAGCAGAGTGGGCACAAAGCCCTTAAGGGTTTGTCCTGCCTGGAGTCACTGAAGATGGCAGCCTGAGGCCTATTGGATCAGAGGTGCACTGTAAATAATGTGTTTTTCCTTGTTTTGGGACAATCTCTCCACATACAGGTGTGCCCTTTGTACTGAGAGCATTGGTTGACTCACCTGAGACCTCAGAGACCCCTCAAAACTGCATCACTATTGTCTTTTCATTCAGTTTCTAGAGTGAGTGAGTCTGAAGTTCTTTAAGCATCAGTACATAGAAACTACGCTGAAGCCTAAGTCACAGTGAACGAGTCAGGTTGTTCGTGGTCAGGACCACACGGAGGAACTCCAAGGGCACTTGCTCTTATCTGCAGTGCAAGCTTGGCTGTGTCCTGTGACAGCTGGGTCAGAGATGGAGACTGTGGCCTCTGAGAGATATGAGCTGTGGAGCAAGTGGTCAGGGTACTTCCTTCCTGGCTGAGAGCCTAGGACTTACTGGATGGCCTGCCGCTGATGCTTCCTGGTTAGCAAAGATCCATCCTACAGTTGGCCTGTGGCGGAGGAGGGCTGGATAGTTCTGTGCCTTGGAATATTTTTTTCAGTTCACAGAGTAGTTACCCAAACATCCTGTGGCAAAGGTCCAGACCTCTTCAGTACTGGGGCCAGTGTCTCGCTGACAGGAAGCAAGGCCATCCTTTCTTGTAGATAACTTTTGGGAAAAGAGCTGGAGAGGGTGTGTTCACCCTGAAATCCCGCCATGAGAAAGGTCTTGATGCTGGGTGTGGGAGCTGAGCCCAGGAGTGGTGCACCCTAAGGCCTTTTTGACACACCATAAAATAGCTGGTGTAGCTGGGTCAGGTGGCACCTGCCTTTAATCCTCACACAGAAAGGCAGGTGATCTCTTGAGTTTCAGGCCAGAGCTATATAGTGAGACCCTGTCTTGGGGTCTGGGGGTTAGCAGTTTGGTTTTTTCCTGCAAATTGACAAATTATAACCTTATTGCTTGCTACTAATTTGACAAATCCTGGGAGTATATTGTTGAGGTGGCCTTGCACTCCTGAATTCTTCAGGTAATTCCTCCTAAAAATGAGGACATCTCTTCGCAGATGGAATGTAGTTGCCAAAGCCGGACATCTGAATGCTTGGTTTACTGCACACAGCCCATATGTAGATGTGTGGCGCCTTTTTCTCTTCCCTGACCCTGAAGCCCAGGTTCCTTTGAAGGTGTTTCTGCTGTTAAGGTTTCTAACCTCGGTCAGACTTTACCAGCTCCTCGGTCCACCTGTGTCTTCAGAAAGCCAGTTTGTAGGACCCCAGGTTGGTGTTGCTTTTCCTGGGCCGTGTAGGTGCACAGAACTGGAAATCAGACCCTGATCCAGTGTGTAGTGGCACCTGACAGCACTACAGGGCCTCAGGTGCTGGCTTAAGTCTGTCCTTGGGAAGGCAGGGAGCAGAGTTGGAGCCATGCTGCAGTGCACGCTGATCTGACGCCACATCTGCCTGCAGGTCAGCTGCAGACCACCCAGAGCCCAAGACTTGGCTGCGTTTTCTTCTGTCTTTTGGGACAGGATCTCTCCGTGTAGCCCAGGCTGGCCTGGAACTCTGGATCTCCAGGCCTTAGCCTTTCAAGTATTGGGCTTACAGGTGTGTACAGTCACACCCAGCTGGTCTTTCTTTTGAGATAACTTTTTCCTTCTGTGAAATGCAGGAAACTTTTTGTGTCACTCTAAACTCCGTCTCTGTTTGTCAGTCTGCAATGAGCTGTACCGCCTACCCCTAGTGTGGCCTCAGAAGCCACTGTCCTCACCCTAAGTGGATGAGTTTCCCTCATGTAGACCTGCCTAGTCTTGAAATGCAATCTTTGGTATAAGGCTTTCAGCCCGTGTAGTGTTGGTCAGTTTCATTTATTTTACTTTTCATTGTGGCTTGAAGTTACTCCACTGTACGGATGTTCTGGTGTGTCTTTCCATCCTAGACGTGAACATCTGGGCTGTTCCAGTTGGGCCATTACAGGTCATGGTGAGCATGCCTGCACAGGGCTTTCTGTGGATGTGTTCTAATGTCTCTAATGCACAATCTCCATTGGCTGTGCATCCCTGCTGACAGTCCATATTGTCCATCTCTAAAGTGTAGCCATTCTGACACATGGAGCTTCTTGCTGTTTAATCTGCATTTCCCTGGCAACTAGTGTTGTTGAGTGTGGTGTCCTTCAAAGAGTGCTTTTGTGTGTGTGTGTGTGTGTGTGTGTGTGTGTATGTATGCATGTGTACACGTGTATGCGTGTATTGCCTGCATGTAGGCAAGTGCACCTGTGTCGTGCAATGCCCGCAGAGAACAGAAGAGGCTGTCGGATCCCCTGGAACTGGAGTTACGGAGAGTTGTTAGCTGCCATGTGAGTGTTGGGATTCGAACGCGTGTCTTCTGCAAGAACAGTCAGTGTTGTTAACGGCTGAGCCATCTCTCCAGCCCCCAAGAGTGTATGTTTTAAGGGATGGTGGAGAGAAGCATGGGCCCTATGGACAGCCTGAGACATTTTTGATTCACACTCTACTTCCAGTTTGCTTGCGTTCCAAGGCTGGTAGCTGGGTAGAGTCTGACCCTTTCTGCAGCAGTAGTGCTGTGTGCTGGCCCTGTCCCAGCCACTCCGCATGACTGCTGCTCGGTGGGCCTGGGGAGGCTGGCCCCAGGCTGCGGGATCCACAGGTAAGTCTGCAAGCGTGCTGGCTTTGCCTCTAGGTGGTATTGCTGCCATTGCTGGTGGCTTCCTGTTCCCAAGAGCATGCTGAGAACAGTGGCCTCATAGGTTAGTGGCAGCTCTGCTAGGGTCACCTGTGAAGGGGAGCTGTGAAGCATGGCCATTGTTTGGAGTCTTCCTTCCCAGAAGATCCTTTGCAGGCAGAGCTCTGGTGTGGCTCTTCACTGCATTTACTTGTGGCAGGATTAAGTTGGGTGCCTTGAAACAAGCTGGTCCCAGCAGTCTAGATGGTTCCAGGCGGAGGTTCGACTCACTGCCTCTGATGTGTGCCCTTGGATGATACTTTGTCTCTCCCAACAGGTTGTTCTCAGAACACAAACAGATCCTGTGAAGAGTGTCTCAGAAACGTCTCGGTAAGTAGTGTGACTCGGGTTCTCTAACACCCCCAAGTCCAGGGAGGCAGTTGTGGTGGGAATTGTGGGGTGCTTTTGATGGTGGTTGTTATGTGCTACTCCAGGGTCTCAGGCATCCACATCCTTCTCAGGAAAGCCGCAGGCTCCCTCAAGCCCAGCCGGTGTCCAGGATCCCGTTCCTGCCAGACTCTCTGAGCTGGTGGGAAATGGCAAGTGTGCTGGTTGTAGGTAATGAGTCCCCAGCTTAGGACTACTTTCCAAGACTAGGCCTTTCCTGGAGGGTCAATTTCAACCTTTGAGGCTTGCTGGGGGCTGAGGAGACTTGACAGTGAGCAGAGTACGGAGCCAAGTGCACACCCACAGTGCCAGCAGAGTACAGGGCCAAGTGCACACGGTGCCAGCAGAGTACGGGGCTGAGTGCACACAGGGCCGAGTGCTCAGCCACAAGTGCTAGCACCCTTCTTGGCCCTTGTATGTACAGTGTTGTGAGCTTGGTCCTTTTGATGGCCTCAGGAGATTGGGGCTGTCCCTGAACCTTGGACTGCGGTGGTGACCCAGTGCTGATGCCTCTCGCTGCCAGAGCTAGTAGAGACTTCTCAGCTCCTCACACAGGAATGGGGAAGGAATGGGAGGGAGGCTGCTGCAGGTCATTGAGCCCTCTAGGCCACGAGGGCTGAAGGGGAGACTCAGCCAGCATGGTTGCTTTTTGTCCTGTTTCTTCAGTTTTTGAGTGCGCTCAAGTCAGAGGGTAGCCATTCTGGAGCAAAGTTCTGTAGTTTTACACCGTACGAGGTTGACCTGGGATTCATGATGGGTCATCCTGGGTTCTGATGGAATGGGCCCATCTATCCACCTGGAGAAAGGGGGGCCAGCAGTGGGGAAACAGCACCTCAGCTGAGATCTCTAGATGTCTTGTGAGCACCTGCTTTGCTCAGGGCTCTTGGCTTCTCCACTGTGGTGGCCTGTTCCTTGGCTGGCCCCTGAGGCTCCTGGGCTGTACCTCGAGGAGCTCTGCTTGGCTTCGTTTAGCACGGTGCTTGCAGGGAGGATGGGAAGTGGGGCAGCAGTCAGTGTTTACGTCCATGGCAGGACGTTAGGCACATCTTAAAAAGCAACAGGAGCTTTTTTTTTTTTTGAGATAGTCTCCCTGTAGCCTCAATTGGCCTGGAATTTACTATGTAGACCAGACTGGCCTCAGTCTCAACGAGGTCACCTGTCTCTACCTCCTGAGTGCTGGGATTAAAGGTGTGCACTGCCACGCTGGACTTAGTCGTTTTTTTAAAGTGGCGGTAGTGCAGATCTGCGCTGCATCTTGTCACTCCAGTGGACAGCAGGATTTGTCCGCAGCTGCTGTGCTTCCGTCCTGACGTTGGTAGTATTGAACCTGCTCCCTCAGCTGGTGGCATTTTCTTAACTCTAGGCTCTGGATTTTCCTATAGGAGTCATTTCAGCCATAAAAATAGCTCATTGTTGTACTGGCCTTGCAGCCTCATTACTCTGGATTGTGTGTGGTGATGACAAGAGTCTAGGAGGGACCCGCCCAGGTCACAGGTGGGTCCAGTCAGGAAAGCCAGGGCCTGACCCTGCTCTGAACCCAGACAGCAAGGTGTGGGGAAGGCAGGTGGTGGCGTAGGGCCCCCCAGACAGTGTTCTGGAGAAACATGGGTCCCTGGAAGTACTTTGAGTTCCTGGAAACCTTCAGGGGCCAAGTGGATCAGAGACAGGCTGCAGCTGTGTTTTGATTCTGCTGAGTTGTTCACAGAGTTGTTTTGACTGTTTTAGTTCAAAAGTCGCAGAGCAACAAGTATGTAAGAATGCTGCTCTCCTGGGAGCTCCTTGTCACATGGAAGTGGAATGGAGACTCATGACTTTAGGATGGACCTGGGGTGGAAGCTGTTCTAACAGCAGGGTGTACAGGGCTCTGCTGCTGTTTGCCACACTAATGTGGTTGTATACAGTAGCCCAGGGCATTTTAATGTTTCTGTGATAGATGTTACCCCAACCTGAGACTCAAACCTGGATTTTAATACTGTCGAAGGGCACCTGCTAACCATGCAGGTGTATGTTTGTTACAGGTAGACTGCATTTGGGCTGGCAGGTCAGTGCTCTCTAAAGCAGAATCCTTCTGCCTTGTGTGTGTCAGCTGCTGGAAGACACCACCCCGGTCAGCTGTGCCGTGTGCTGGTCACCCTCAGCAACCTGCTCCAGCAATAGACAGGCTCACCCCAGTCCTGGCACTGTGTGATGGGTGTGGCAGGCCTTGCTCTGGGTTCTGACGTGCTGGTATCACGGTGCTGTTTCCTCACTATTCATCCTCACCCCAACATTTGAGGGTTTGAGGGGCTTGGATAAGAGTCCCCCCCCCCCCCCGCAAGAAGTTCTCCCTGACTCTTAACCTTTGGTTGTTTCATTCTTCAAACCCTGACAGTGCAGTATAAAGATGGCAGGTAGAAGGCACAGGGCCTCTATAGTGACAACTGCCTTGTACCCCAGAGTCCAGTCAGCAAGCACCTAAGGTCCTCCCCTGTGTGTCTGGGGTGCTCAGGATGGAAGATGTGGCGTGTGAGGAGATGACGTCTATAGACGGATGCAGACAGCAGTGTGGGCTGTCCCAGAGTACGGCCTGGAAGGCTGTGGTGATGGTGGTGGTAGGTCCCCTGCCTTGAGGACAGCAGGTAACCATTCACAGGCCTGGTGAAGAAGGCTCTGGAGAGAAGAGGCCACTGCAAAGGCATTGTGGGTAGGGTGGCATTCAGGACCCTAGGCCAAAAGGGGCTACTGGCCACTGCTGGATGCTGATTCGAGGTCAGCCAGAGTGAGCAGGAGCAGTGGGAGACATGAGACCAAGGCGCTAGGGTCATCGCCCCAGAGAGTCGGTGTGAAGCAGAGACAAAAAGATGGGCGCACCTAAGTCTGCTCTGGGTCCTCATCGCTGTCTTCTAACGCTGGTCTCTTTCAGTGTCTCTGGTGCAACACGAACAAAGCATGCTTGGACTACCCAGTGAGAAAAATCCTGCCCCCCGCTTCTCTTTGTCAGCTGAGTTCTGCTCGTTGGGGTGTTTGCTGGGGTGAGTTTGTGTTTCCTGCTTGTAAAAATCAGTGGGTTTTGATGATTCTAGAATTTTGCCTAATCAGCGTAAGTTGCTAGGAAGTAAATGTAGCCATGACATCCCAGGGAAGGAAGTCCAGAAATCAGTGGCAGTCTGCTGTCTGGCACACAGCCAGGGATTTGGAGGGCTCCTGCAGGGTCACTGGCCATGGCAGTGGGCCTCTCACGTCCCTGGAGGGTGGGGAAGGGTGAGTGGGAGGCCTGCTTTGACTAACCTGCGTGGGGCATGTTGGGTGTTGATGTGCCACCTCGGAGTCTACGTGGGTTCCCATGGCTCCCCAACTGAGGATCCTTGCCCCTGCTGCCTGTCTGTGTGTCTGTCTGTGGCCATCACTTTCTCTCGTGAGACAGTAGCCCTGTGGGGTTCAAGTTGTCCCCGCCTTGCCCCTCAAGTGCTTGTGCTGTGTGCTGCTGCCTGCAGCAACTTTGTTCTTTCCTTGGATGGTGTCAGATTTGGGGTCGCACAGGCCTCCTCCAGCTCTGCAGAGCAGCTGGTTTCTCAGCACTGGGGTCATGCCTTGCATGTTTGCATCCTGGATCCTCTGCCCTTACTCCTCACTTAGCTCACCTTTATTCTGAACGATTTCTGTCTCAGAATTCCAGCAGCCTCTGTCCAAAACAACTTACCTGGTGTCAAAACCCCAGGAAATCTGGAAAGCAGGGAGGGGTGACACTGTGTGTGTGTGTGTGTGTGTGTGTGTTGGGGGGGGTGTCTGTGATGTATAGCATCCATCATCTATCCCTGCACAGAAAAGCCACTGCATCCTCAGCTCTGCCCCCTCCTGATGACCTTCCTAGACCAGAAGCCTTAGCTTTGGAGCACTGACTGCCACTCAAGTGTTTCCCATAAGTATGTGACTTCAGTGAAGTGTGTGCACCCTAAGTGTCCCTTCTTAGACTAGCTTATAGTTTGTAACATGTAAGTAACACATGTGGACATACGGGTTTCCATGTGGGAGGCTACCATCACTCTGAGGACATTGTAGTACTTCTGGAAGGCCCATTCCCCAGAGGACTGGGCTGCCTTCACTGGGTCCTGCTTTGCTGCTTTCTGCCTCCACTCCTGAGGCTGCTCGGCCTTAACAGTTCCGCCTGCATCCAGCCATGGCACCTTCCCTCTGGTGTCCGCTAAGCAGTGGGACACCTGCTTGCCTCGGATCCTGCCAGCATGGAGATGTCATTGTCTTGCCTTTGACTCATTGGGTGGTGTGTGGGGAATCGTGTGCCTTGCATGACTGATGACAGAAGGTGTTGAGCTCCGAGTCAAGAGGTGTGTATTCTTGATCATTGTCCTGTGCGGTGAATTCCCCTCCCAGGTTCCAGGATGACTAAACCCCCACACCCAGCCTTGGACAGGTGAGCATGCTCCGGGGGAGACAGGCACCCATGGGAGGCAGCTTGTACTGACAGGAGAGCAGGTATCTTGAGTCCCAAAGGAGCATACCATCACTTGTGTTGTGGTGATTCGTGCAGGCTGCATGGGGCTGAGCTCCTGTAGGGAAATATGCCTGCACTTGGCCCGGCCTGTGATACGTGGTCACTGGATAGGGTCTGTATTCCTCAGAGCAGAGTGGGCCACTGGAGGTTGGGCCACTAAGCCTCCTGGCTTCACCAGAGGCCAGGTAGCCTGTGATACTGATTTGAGGCCTGCACCGGGGTGCTTGTTGTTAGAGATGAGAATCATTCTGTCCAACATTGCTGTATTTTTGTTCAGGACTTTAATTGTAGTGAAGTGTGTATATTCATTTGAAGAAAATGAAGTCTTTGCCCTTTGGATTTTTGTGGTGCAGTGATAATGTCACTCAGGCTGTACTTTGCCTGTGGGTGGAAGTTCACGAGTTGCCCTGTAGGTCAACGGAGGAGCCCACAGGTGCTAGGTTCCCGTCATAACAGGATTTCTGTTTCTATCTCAGAGCCATGGGAGTAGATAGATTTTAGGTAGAGCCCACTGTCTAATGTTCCCATTTTAAACTTGATTTTTATAAAATTTTGTAGTTAAAAAATGATCCCATCTACTGATGCTGATGAAACCCTCCTTTCTCATCACACTTATGACTGCTATTTTTTTGCAGCGCTACACTTTCAGAATAGGCTAACAGGTGGGCAGAATGCAGGAGCTCAAAGGCTGTGGAGCAGATATAATGCCTGCTTGATGCAAAATGCTTAGAAGTTGAAGGCAGGAGAGATGACTTAGCAGTTAGGAGCACTGACTGCTCTTGCAGAGGACTCGGGTTCGAGTCCCAGCACCCACATGTGGCCAACAACTGTCCATAACTCCAGTTCCAGGGGATCCCATGCCCTCTTGTGGCCTCCACAGGCATTGTACGCAAGGATGCACATAAACACATGCACACATAAAATAAATTTTTTTAATGCTTAGAAGTTGAAAAGCGGGGGCTAGAGAGATGGCTCAGCGATTAAGATTAAGAACACTGGTTCTTACAGAAGACCTGGGTTCAAATCCCAGCACCCACATGGCAGCTAACAACTGTCTGTAACTCCAGTCCCAGGAGCCTCTTCTGACCTCCGAGGGCATTGCATGACATGGATACACTTACCTACATGCAGGCAATACACACATAAAATAAAAATAATAAATAAAATTTAAAAAAAAAGTTGTTGAAAAGGAGTCTGTACTTGAGCACAGCCCTCCCAGCCAAGGCTGAGGGAGCCCTGAAGTTGGTCTTTAGCTTCCTGCTTCTCAGCTGCCCAGGAGCCTCACTGGCCCACTGGATCCCGTTGCTGAGGTCTGGATAGTTGTATGCGGTAGTCAGTTTGTAGCTCTCCTTAAACTTTGAGTTGCTGGCAACCCTGCTTCTGGGCAGTTTGCCTGTGAAGTGCTTCTGTGGAATTTAGCTGGATGACTGAGATGCAGTGCAGGGCTCCTGAGTTTGAGCGAAGAGCCTTGGCCTTGACGATCTTTAAGAGAATCGATTTTCAGTTTGTGTCTGTTGCTGAGGCTCAGCTCTGCCAGCACATCACATCGTTGAGTGACACTGACTGCCAGCCGCTTTCAGACACCAGGGCTTCCTTCTCAGATGTGCACATGACCCGTGGCCTGATTTCTCAGGGTTCTCTGGTCAGGGTGCCCTGAAGGAGGCTGCTTTCCTGGGGAGTCTCATAGCCTGGGCCCTGACGACAGTGTGTCCCCCCATCTGTAGGCACTCACTACAGACTCAAGGCCTTGAACAGGTAGCTGCACCTTCCTTCTTTCTGGGGTCTGTAAACCTGTCTGAAGCTCCTTTTTTTTCTGGATCATTTTCAAGCTCTTACATATGTCTCAAGATTTTTATGTGCGCTAATAATGTAACGTTGGGCCGGATGTGGTGGCGCACGCCTTTAATCCCGGCACTCTTTGTGAGCTCGAGGCCAGCCTGGTCTACCTAGTGAGTTCCAGGACAGCTGGAGCTACAGGGAGACCCTGTCTCAAAAAGACAAAAAAAAGTAATATTGCCATTTAAAGAATGTTGAGGCCTATAATTAAATACATTGGCATAAGGCATATCAGCAATGTTGTACAGTCATCCACTGTCCATCTCCAGAAGTTTTTCATCATTTTTAAATTGAAGTTCTGTCCATTTAAAAAAATTGTTTATTCAGTTTTTGTATATTTCATACAGAAAATCATCTTTATACCCCCCTTCCCCTTTGGCACGCTCCTGTAGCCCCCCCCCCATGGGAGTTCATACATTCTGTCATTTGTGTTAAGGCGTATCATGTCAAGTTAATGTCCTGAGACTAAGTGAAAGTTCATCCACCAGGGTTTGGTCAGCCTACCTAGAGGCTTTCCCTGCGAGACCAGCTCTTCCTCACCCAGCAGTAGTCAGCTGCCAATAATTCTTCAACTAAGATTGGGATTTGCTGTTCACTTCCGCAGTTCTCTGCTGGGTTTTTGTCTGCCTAAATTTGCATGGGTCTGTGCACGCTGACACCATTGCTGTGGGTTTGTATGAGAAGGGTGCTCGTAGAAATATTTCCATATGGTCATGCACCTCCTCCCTGGCTCTTAAAATCTTCTGCCCTCTCTTCTGCAATGGTCCCTGAACCCTGGGTGGGTGGACCTCAATATAGAAGACCTGTTCGAGGACCCACACTCTGCAGACTCTTATTCTCAGTGTTTTGGCCGTTTGTGACCTTTTGTGTTCCTGGCCCTCTGTTGCATGAGGGAGCTTCACTGATGAGAACTGAAAGATGCATTAGTGTTCTCTTCATCCCTTGTTCTATGTTCTGTGAGTCTTAGGTGTAGAAGTTGCATCTGAGATGTGCCACTTAGGGTGGGGCTATTCACAGAGAATCTCTGTGTGTGACCAGTGGTGTAACTCTGTAATAATCTGTTGTTGAAAAAGAAGCTGCTTTAAAAATACCAAAAGATTAAAAAAAGAAGCAGTAGCTTCTTCGATGGGTGGTAACTGAGATGCTTGTCTGTAAATTTAAGGATGCATATCTTGTACATAGTAAGAAATTACATTTGCTTAGGGATGTGAGAGCCTTGGGGTTTTTTCTAAGATCTATGACCTCTCCAGCTGTGTGTATTTGGTTAGGTTTACAGTACACACATGTTTCCTCCCATTGAGTGGGCTTTTAAAAAGTCCAATTAGGCAGCTGTTGATTACCCCCAAGATAAAAGTACCACTACTGCACCAATGTCATTTGCTGTGCTGGTCATTGATGTCGGTTTTAGGCCTTAAAGCTGGGGTTGGACCATCGATTGATATTCTCCCTTACCAGCTTTGGTAGTGCTCTCCAAAACTATGAGAGCTAGCCTTCGGGGGAAGTGACTTTCAGGTCAGTTCCAGCCCCATTGCTCCAAATCCTGTGTCCAAAGTATGTCCTGTCTTCAGCAATAGGGCCTTCTTACCATCAAGTTCTGGGAGGCATTCAAGGACTGTGGCAATAGCCTGTGCAGTTTTGGGAGTCTCTTGGACTACCCTGGCCAACAACTTGAAGGAAGGTTTCTCCTGTCTGGCACTGTTTCGTGTTAAGTAGTCTTCAACTATGCTCATGGACTCATGTAGGGATATTGTATATGTAATTTTTCAGTAGGTTTTTGGATTAACACGATTCTCTCTGGTTTTTTGTATGCTAGCTAGGCACTATTTATGTCTCCTCTTTTTCTCCCTGAATCTTTTCTTAAAAAATTTGTGTTTTTTTTGTTTTGTTTTGTTTTGTTTTTTAAGCCAGGTGTGGTCATACATGCCTTTAATCTCTGTGAGTTCAGGGCCAGCCTGGGCTACATAGTGAGTTCCAGGACAGCTGGGGCTACAGGGAGACCCTGTCTCAAAAAGACCAAAAAAAAATTGTTTTCAGTGTATATGAGTGTTTCGCAGGCACGTATGAGTGTACCACATAACATGCCTGCAATGCATGCGTGCAGTGTCTATGGAAACCAGAAGAGGGCATCAGATCCCCCTGGAACTGAAGTTAACAGACAGTTGTTAGCTGCCTTGTGGGTGCTGGGAACCAAACCTGGGTCCTTTGGAAGAGCAGCCAGTGCTTTCAGGAGCCATCTCCAGCCCCTGAAACATCTTTTAAATCTCCAGGGAGCGGGGGGTCCATCTCTTTAGGTTGTTATGGTTGACCTAGAAATGGTAAGTCACAGACAGTGGCCTCAATGAAAGCCTAAAGCTCAGGTGGTGTCAGGACTGCTCGTGGTGACAAAGAGTGCTTTGGGTGGAGGCAGGCCACACTTGCCACGGTTCTGACGCTGTGCTTAACTTCTAGTGAATTTCGAGGCCTTGATCATCACCATGTCAGTTATGGGGGGCTCCGTACTCCTGGGCATTGCCATCTGCTGCTGCTGCTGCTGCCGCCAGAGAAAGAAGAGCCGGAGGCTGGACAAGAGTGATGAGCGGGCTGTGAGGGAGCAGGAGGAGAGGAGAGTGCGGCAGGAGGAGAGGTGAGGCCGCTCGGGGCTGGCTGGGGATTGGCGGCTGGTAGCCAGGGGAACCAAGGCTGTGAGGTATGAACTCAGGGTGTGCTCAGTGTTGACATTTTCTAGGCTGTGGTTAGAGGAGAAGCTGGCAGGATCATGCAGAGGGCTCTGGCCTTGTCTCAGTCAGGCTCCCTGGTCTGTCTCATCTGTTGGTTGAAGGAGGTATGACTGGCACAGCCTGTGCTACAGTGCTCCTGACACTGCCCTGTGGCCTGGGCTTTGAGGACTGCGCTCCAGCCCACCCCTCACAGTGAGGTAGCCAAGACTTGGTCCCTGACCACCATTACAGATGCAGGCTTGTATTCACTGGATGGCAGGACACTACATTTCCCTAATGTATGCTGGGGCCCCGAAGTGCAGGGGCAGGCGCTGGTCATACTGTTGCTCTGAAACAGGTACCGGAGTGCATGTTAACAGTGGTCTTTTCCTGGAACCTAATGGGAGGTTTTCACTTGCTGCATTTTTTTATGAGAATGTTTAAAAAAAAATTTATGGATATGAGTGTATTGCCTGTATGTATGTAAGTGCACCCATGTCATGCAATGCCTGTGGAGGACAGAAGAAGGTGTTGGATCCCTTGGAATTGGATGGTTGTTAGCCGCCATGTAGGTGCTGGGATTCAAACCTGGGTTCTCTGCAGGAGCAGCTAGTGCTCTTAACTACTAAACCATCTCTCCAGCCCCAGTGAGAACGTTTTTAAAGATCACACATCACAGTATTGGAGTTTGGATTTTTTTTTGTTTGTTTTGTTTGGTTTGGTTTTGTTTTTGGTCTTTTTGAGACAGGGTTTCCCTGTAGCCCCAACTGGTCTGGAACTCACTATGGAGATCAGGGTGGCCTTGAACTCAGAGAGATCTGCCCACCTCTGCCTCCCACACCCGGCTGAATTCTTTTGAGATGGAGTCTTGCTCATAGCCCAGCCTGGCCTTGAACTCCTCATCCACCTGCCTCAGCCTCCTGAATGCTGGGATTGCAGGTGGCCACTACCACACCCAGTCTGAAGTGTCACGGGAACAGCCTGCTCTGCTGTCCGCCTACTGGTCCAGGGATGGGTGTGGCCTAGTCTCCTCTCCAGGAGCTAGAGGAAGGGCTGAAGGGGTCCACAGCTGCTGCTGGGGGAGGGAAAGGATGGAACTTGAGCTGAACCTGCTTGTCTTTGTGGTGATGCCACTGGGTGGTTTTTTGTTTTTTATGTTTTTTAGGAGAGCAGAAATGAAGTCAAGACATGATGAAATCAGGAAAAAATACGGTGAGAATGCTATGTCTCTTGATTGGTTGGGAGTTGGTGGGACTGTGGGGTCTGGGCCATAGCCTCTTTGCTGGAGGCTTGTCCTTCCCTGGACAGCAGCTGTCCTGTTATCTGGGCACCACAGGAGGCTAGGTGCACTGTGTGCCAAACTTTGTAAAGCTTCCAGAAGGGCTGCGCCCAGCTATTCTGTTCTCCTGTTTGTCTTGAAGGAGGATGCCCTGTGAAGCCTTGGTGTCTAGCCTGCCTCTGCGATGCTTTGTGTGTCTCTCCTTCCCGTCTGTAAAGCCGAGGCATGCCCCTCTCCTGATTTCTAGGTGCACTACCTCATTTGGAGAGATGTGGGGGTGGTGACTGACAAAGAACCAGAGTGGATAGGTGCTAAGTGGAAACCTCTTCAGTTGGCGTTAGAAATCCAGCACTGTATACCTGCAGTATATAGCAATACATCCTAAGTTACACATTAGCGGCTTCTGCTCCTACCTTCAGTGAGTCCTGAGCTTTTTTTTTAAAGATTATTAGAGTTGCACAGTGTTGGGCATGGAAGAAGTTGACCCCTCATTCACCTGAACTTGGGGTCAGAGGGCCTGTGGGAAGACTCCAGCTGAGCCCACTGTTTTGGCCTTAAATCAGTATCCTACAGGACAAAGCCAATGAGAAAAACTCTAAAATCTTTCCCAAAAATGCGTTAAAATTTATTTATTTGTGGGTGTGTGTGTGCGTGCACACATATGGGCATATGGAGGTCAGAGGACAAGTTGTAGGAGTCCGTTTTCTCCGTCTGCCATGTGGACCCAGGGTTGGCAGGCTTGACTGCAAGCATTTCTACCCACTGAAGTCCATTTCACAGCTCCAGCCAATGCTGAGGCCGTTATTTATGTGAGGGAACAGCTTAGCCTGTGGTGTTTTAGGGCCTTACCTGTTTTTGTTTTTGTTTTTTTGTCTTTAGGAGACAGGGTCCTCTTGTAGCCCCAGCTGGTCTAGAACTTACTTTGTAGACCAGGCTGGCCTTGAACTCACAGAGATCCACCTACCTCTGCCTCCTAAGTTGTGTGCGTGCACCACCACAACCAGCTACCAGGGGCATTCTTACATCTCTGTGTGTAAGAGCTTTTTACTGTCGTCACAGAACACCACGCCAACATCTCCAGGGAGGAAGTTTTGATTAGCCTCCAGTATATGAGGTTTCCATCTGGGGCCCATTGCTATGGGCCCGTGGTGAGGCAGAACATGGTAAAAGAGAACCATTTACCTTGCAACAGCTTTGGGATAGCCATGGAGAAGGGTTAGGGGAGAGAACAGGATAGATCTTTGAGGGCAGTACCCCTGTGCCCTCCTCTAGCTGGGCCATCTCCCAATACTGCTGTCTGCTTAGAAATCCATGAAGGAGTCGATCGTTTGACTGGCTCAGGGCCCCACATCAGAACATTTGCTTCATGGTAGTCCAAGTCATGATACTGATGTGTTTCTATCATCCAGGGAACAGATGCTGCAACAAAGTGAGCAGCCCCAGTGCCGCGTGGCCCCTCTGTTGGGTTGTTCAATATTAAATATGCAAGTTCAGTTCCCTTTCTGGGGTGTACAGATCCATTGCTGCAGGTATCAGGACTGCACCTGCCTGTCAGCTCTACCACCTGGCTACGTGATCTCACCTGGGGAGGCCCCAAAAGTTTGACTATGCACTGGGAACTGACACTGGCCCACACAGGCCAAGGTCACACCTGCTGTCCTCTCACCTGAGGACGTGCTGCGACGGGTGGAGCCTCCCTCCCTAGCACTATGTGCTGAGGCCTGGGCTGCTGACGTCAGAATTGCTGCACCTGACCCTGGCCGGCCCTTGGTTCCTTCCCGTTGCTGACCTGCTTCGTGTGTGCTTTACTTCTCTGTGTTCTAAGAGTTCCAGATGGGTGTGGAATGTGGGCCATCCGGCATCTGCATCCAAACCAGCCTCCTACACTGACCCCAGAGATTTTTGTCAAAAGTATGACATGAGAAGCAGCGGTGGGAAGATGTGAGCTAGAACGAGAGATTTTTGAGTGGGAGGAGAGGGTAGGAAAGAGAAGGATAGAAATGAAGAGAGAGAGAGGAGGGGGTATGCACATCACACGTTCTGGTGTGTTGAGAGGAAACTCTGGTCCTTGGGTGGATGCCACAGACGTAGGTTAAATTGATGTTTTAGCCCAGGCCTCCTGTAACTCGTTTGCCAGCTTGAAGCTCTTTGTTCCTTATAGAGTTAATTCTCGAAGCGCAGCAGCCCTAAGGGGCTTCCGGATGAGCTGGCTCCTCTAGAAGGAAATGCCTGGCTTCTCATGAGTGGTGTCAGCAGCTGTGCCTTGTTTCTCAGGAATGGTTGGGGTTTCTGAAGTTTTACTGTAGTTTTAAAGTCATCTGTGGCTCGGCTTCAGCAAGAAGGTCAAGGACAGGATCTGAGCTTAAAGCTGTGGTTACGACTTCAGGTGGCGTTTGGCTGACATATGTTGCTTTTGTTGTGGGTTGTGCTTTGAGAAGGGAGGATTGTTGTTTTTGTTTTGTTTTTCTTTGAGACAATTTCTCACTATAATTCAGGCTGGTCTCAAACTCACAGCAGCCGTCCTGCCTCAGCCTCCCAAGTTCTAGGATTATGGCATGAGGCAGTACCCTCGGAGACATGTACTACTTTGTGAGTTTTGTTTCTAGTTGAGTGAGTGAATTTATAAGTCAAGTTTTTTTTGTGTTTTTTCCCCCCCAGGTCTGTTTAAAGAACAAAACCCATATGAGAAGTTTTAAAGCAGCTGGCTGATACTGGGCAGACATCACAGCACCCATCTTCCTGGAAGTGCGCTCCTCAGCATGGCCTGGCACCATAGCCACCCTGACCTGAGTGAGCCCAACCTTGGCATGGGTGCTGGAGTGGCCTTGGGAGGACAATCCTGCCCCTGTTCCTTCTGTCTCTGTTTCTGTAATCACTTGAGACACTAATGTTGTTGGGGTCCCTTCTTTGGAGGAATTATACTTGCTGCCCACCCTCTGGGAGCCAGTTCTGTATCTGGCAGCCTGGACTCCTGAGCCCCCTGCCCTGTGACTTCACATCGTAACCCATGAAGTCATACTTTGCCATGGCAAGAGCCGAACCATGCCATCCTCAAAGCCATGGTGTGTCTCTGCACCCGTTTCTGTGACATGTTGGTGTCCAGCTGCGGTGGCCTTTTGGAAGGTGCTGTCCCAGCAGGCAGCCTGGTAAGGATTTCCTTCTAACCCAGCTACATCCAGCAGCTTGGGAGAATACAAAGTCACCTGAAAACTTTTTTTCATTACTCTTGGGTTTCCCTCAAGAAACAGTCTCTTAAAACCTTTCATGTAAGAATTGAAGCTTCCTCTTGGATGGCGTTTAAGTCTCAGTAGACAAAGAATCATCTCCCCTTTGGGAAATGGGAATGGTAAATGTGTTTGAACGCCTGTGTGAGGGCTGAGTCAGTTACCTGGCTACCTGCCTCACCTCACCTTCAGCTGTGGCAACCAGTAGAGTCACATGTCCTTGGAAGGACCTTTCCACAGGTCTTGGGCCTGTCAGGCTGTTGGGGTGGGCATGTGGGGATCATGGAGGTGGTGGGTCTTTTCCTGGGAGGACAGCTCATCTACAGGCCCCCCCCCCCCCCGGGAAGCCAAGTGTGTGGGAAACTAGGGGACCCCCATCCCTCACTGCCTATCAGACAAACTGCCTGAGCAGACCCCACCCCAACCCCCAATTCTAGCCATGTGAAAAGCTCGGTGTATCTTACATTTCAGCATTGGCCCTTGAAAGCTTGTCAGAGACACCATGATTCCATGCACAGTGTACATTTCTCTGAAATCAGATGTAGTGTGGAGACTACATACTTGGAAGTAGTGAGGAGACTACATACTTGGAAGTAGTGAGGAGACTACATGCTTGCAGTGAGGAGACTACATGCTTGCAGTGAGGAGACTACATGCTTGGAAGCAGAGACAGCAAATTCCCATGAAGTGACTGGGAAGCTGCTAACATGTGCCGATTGCTTTGAATTTAAAGCTGTCCCCTGGGGAAGGCAGCCACCAGCCTGGGGTGCTGGTGCTGAGGGTGTCCAGTGGTCGTCCCTTTGTGCCTGGAGACCTCACCTGGCAGCTTGGTGACCTTTTAAGCTCTGTCAGTCTGTCCAGGAGTTAAGCTCTGTACCCTCAGACTTTCACAGACTAAGGAAATGACCTTTACCACGCTCTGAGGTCTTATTTTTCTGACTTGTTAGACATTTGATGTAATTTAGGGCATCACCATACATTCCTGAGTATTTTATGGCAGCCTCTAGATTTGTCTTTGTACTCTGTTCATAAAAGAAATCTAATGGGCTTGATGAGCTTTCTATTACTATGTAGCATGAATCACAGTTTTAAGTGAGGTTGTTGAGCTGATGTTAGAGCGACCAGTTGCTACTAAATACAGTGTACTTAGTTCTTGAGCAGTGAAGCAGCAGCAGGTGCTCCCAGGACTCGTCGGGATCTGTTTTTGTCTCTTAAGCCACAAAGAGCAGCCCCAGAGCTCAGCCCAGGGACCATCACACCCAGTGCCTTACTTTTTAACCACTTTTCAATAAAATGGTTGAATACAGCTTTGGTTTCTTTCTCCTGCTCTGTCTTGAGGGTGAGCTGGGACTGTGGGCTTTCCAGGTGAATCCCTCTCCTAGGCCTGGAGGATACCATGTCCCACCAGTCCTCTGTGCAGTGGTCCCCACTCCTGGCCTCAGTGTGGAAAGAGCCTCCTTGTCAGCTGTGTCTGGCCCTGTCCTACCCCACCGCATGTTGTGTTCTATTTAATCAGAGAAAGCCCTGCCTCTGAGGCCTCTGGGCCTGGCTCACACGAAGCGGGACTGTCAGCTGCCACTGGCCTGGGTACCCTTCCTTTCTGCAGCATCCGGCTCCTTCATTCCCTGGGGTCTGGAATGGAGCAGGAGGCAGTTGAAGGGTGTGGGTATCACCAAGTCTACCTATGACAGGCTGTTGGCCCCCAAGGGCCTCAGTCCCAGAGCTGGCCCTGGTTGCCCTTGTCGTAGTTGCCTTAGCCACGTAGAGGGCAATGGACAGAAACTAGCCCCTTGCTTTCGGGGTAACAGTAAGGGACACTGGTTCTGGGGTACAGCAGCAGAAAAGCTGTCAGCGGCCCTTGCTCGGGTCCCTGCCACGGCAGCCCACCCATTAGAGGCATGTGCCTGGACTGTACCTCTTTCTAGGGAAGGAATCCTGGGACAGGAACATTCCTGAAAACCACCAAGTATCAGATGTAAGGACAGTACTCTGCCCAGACTGCAGACCACGGAAGGGAAGAGTGGCCTTGGACCGGTAGGAGCCCACTCTCATGTAGCTCTGGCCTGGGATGCCTGCCCTGGTAGGTCACTCAGTAAATGATGTTGGCAATTTTCACCATAAAGTGTGATGGGCCAGGCCAGGAGATTCTGGGCAGGAAGGTGGGTGGGAGCTCTGGGTCCAGTTAATATACCCGACCCTGGGACAGGGTGGGATGTTGAATCATACTTGTTCCAAGGAAGCTACCTGGGAACTGAACTTAAATCCCAAGGGCATCCTCACTTTGGACTTAACAATTCACTAAAGGGAGCTCAGAACATAGTCTGGTCAAAGAGGAAGATGATTCAGTGACTTCTGCGTCTGAACCTGACTGCCCAACCTGCAGACAGAACAGGTGGATGGTGGGGTTTCCACAGAGGCTACTCTTGCCCCTCCCCCGTACTTTGGTTTTAAGAATGAATCATGGTGTTCCGCCCAAAGCGGCATCACTACTCTGGGCAGGCTATGCATCTGGACCTTTTAACCACCCCACAGGCCCATGCATGGTACTTAAAGGGCAAGCAGGCCTCATTTTGTCTGCCTCGGCTCTGGTTCTGCCCTTGCAGTGCCAGCCGAGAGACACTGGGCTTGATCCAAGGCTGTGTCCCAGCCCCTTGCTGCCTTTGTCTCCTGCTCCGTCTCAGTGTTCAGGATGACTGGGGACAGGTCCCGCCAACGGAAAGTGTTCAAAGACACCCAAACCATCCGTAACCACGGTGAGTGTGGAGAGTTTCGGGGAGAATTGAGTCAGGGGAGTCAGTAATGGGCTGCTCTTCGCCGGTGCTGGTCAGCAGTGAGCCCTGGGTGGGGCCCACAGCCAGAATCACCAACCATGCCAGCAGAACCTACCCAGCTTTCTGCTTCTGCTTCCTCTGAAGTCAGAGCTCAGCCTTGGGAGAGGCCATTGGGTTTCTGCGTCCCACAGCTCCTAAGGACTCAGCCTTTCTTGGCTTTTCTTCCTGGTCTGCCTCCCCTTCCACACTCCACACTCCAACCTTGAGGGACCCTCCACCCTAAAGACTACTTCCAAGGCTCTGTCCCAGGCCCTGCTTCCTGTGGGCCCCCAAAAGTCATCACCCGAGAGTCGTCGGACTTAGAGTGACTAAGCAGATTGCATTGAGGTAGAGCTTGTGATGGTTGATGTCAGGTACCTCTTTGGGTAAGAGATGGGCTTGTATCCTGTTGGTGCAAAACAACTCTTACTCCGAAGGAAATACAAGTTTATTCTGAGCCACATGTGAGTGAGTATGGCCCAAGAACAGATTTAGGACAATGCTGTACTGTGGAAGAGGCTACATGAACTTCCAAGGAACAAGACAAGTAAATCAACGTGTTTTCCAAATACCTTGGTAGGGGCATGAGGTGGGGGAGTTACATAGCCAGGAAGATCTCAGATACAACCTAACAACATTCATAGCTTTAGGGATGGGGAGGCCAGAGGTATGCTAAGTCAACAGTTCCAGACTTTTCCCCAGTAGTCACACAGATGGTAAGTCTGGTACAGCAATCGGGGCAGCAATTGGCAGATACTGCTGAGGGCAGGACAGAAGTCGGGGGATTTAGGCTCTGGAGCTGCAGCCTTCAGTCTCCAGCAGGAAGTTTAGTCAGTGGGTCTGCAGGACTTTTTGGTTAGTGCATCCTTTCTCCGTGTGTGTCGTAGGATGGCTCTGGATGAGACTGGCCTTTGGTTTGGAGGACTGAGCAGAGCAAGTGGCCTTCCCAGTGTGGGTGGGATCAGACAGGATTTGTGGAGGCCTAAGTAGGACTGCATGGCCATCAAGCATGGTTATGTTAACATGGCTGAATTTGATCTGAAGTTTTTAAGAGCTGGGCATCTGGGGGCTGGAGAGATGGCTCAGCAGTTAAGAGCACTGGCTGCTCTTGTAAGAGGACCTGCGTTCAGTTCCCAGCACCCACATGGTGGCTAACAACCATCCATATCTCCAGTTCCAGGGGAATTCAGTGCCCTCTTCTGGCCTGTGAGAGCATTGCACGACAGGGGTTCACTTAGATTCATTCAAGCCATGCACACATAAAAAAATATTTTTAATGTTTCACATGAGTTGTGCAGGGGTTGGAGAGATGGCTCAGCAGTTAAGAGCACTGGCTGCTCTTGTAGAGGACCTGGGTTCAGTTCCCAGCACCCACATGGCTAACAACTGTCCATAACTCCAGTTCCAAGGGAATCTGTCACCGTCTTCTGACCTCTACAGGCATTGCATGACATGGGTGCACATACGTACGTGCAGGCAATATTCTCAAACATATAAAAATAATAAATTTTTTTTTGGTCTTTTTGAGACAGGATCTCCCTGTAGCCCCATGTGACCTGGAACTTGCTATGTAGACCAGTCTGGCCTTGAACTCATGGAGATCCACCTGCCTCTGTCTCCTTAGTGCTGGGACTAAAGGCGTGTACCACCGTGCCTGGCAAAAAAGTAACAAAAATTTTTTTAAATTATTTGATAATGACATAATTAGAAGAAGCATTTCATTACAACAACATTGACATATTCAATAACAATTTCCAGAACTAAGATGCATCTCTTTCAAAAGTAGCTGTAAATTTTTAGGTTTACAGTTGAATTACTACAGTTATACAATATTGTACTCAGTATAAACCCTATAAGACATAAGATTAAATGAAGTTTTAACCTTTAAAAAAGATCTCCATTTCATTATTAAAATGCCCAGTTTCATACAGAAAAAATCATTTTTAGTGCAATTGACATTAAGATGTTTGCACATGCGTTTCTAATCTCTATATCTGATTATTACTAGTCACAGTTGGTTACTTTCTGAGCTTGGCATCTGAGCATGGATATAAAGTCATCAGGTAGATTTCAATGGTAATGTTTTTCTCATTTATTAAGGAGAAAATTTTTATGCTTTGAAGAATTTTTTAATCATTTTTATTTATTATTATTTTTTTTTATTTTTTGGTCTTTTTGAGACAGGGTCTCCCTATAGCCCCAGCTGTCCTGGAACTCATTATGTAGACCAGGCTGGCCTTGAACTCAGAGATCCGCCTGCCTCTCCCTCCCAAGTGCTGGGATTAAAGGTGTGCGCCACTGCGATGGACCAGCCCAGACCGGGGCAGTTCAGTCCGACGGGAACAGGGTCGTCGAGAGGGTGGACAAGGAGTCAGCGAGTGACAGACACAAAAGAGCTTGATGAAAGTCTGAGTGCAATTTTTGTAGTTGCAAGGTTTGAGATATATACAGCAAAGACTACAAAAACTGCAGAACAGTCATGCTAAAATTTAAAATTCCAGAGATGAAAGTAAAGCAATTTTGCCAACACATTTCCCTATCTTATCAACCTGATACTAGACAGTAAATTTCTGCTTTACTGTGGTTTTTACTGCCAGCCTTTCTCACTCACTTAGGATTCTGCTCAGCTTTGTAGTCCCAAGTCAGGATGACCTTAACCCATTAAGCATGTTCAACACGAGCTGTGCCTGATGTTACTTTTTTAACTATTTGAAAATATTCCTTGCTTATTTGTAGTGGGCCATAGGGATTCTAAGTTATTTTTAACTCTATAGGTCCCCAAAAGGCTATCCCATGTTAGGGATCCATGAAACCATCCTTCTCTCTTATCCTACCAATTTTCAAATACTTTCTATATTTGCCCTTTAATGCTCTCTTTTGATTGTTTATCAAAAGACACCAAGATGGTCTTGATCTTACCAATTTATCCATAAGTTGTAATGAATACCCAGAAACCCTTCTTCTATCTATGTCTCTCTTCTAGAAATCCGTTATTCCCTAGACTCTCCACCACTAATTCTATTTAACTACTTCTTGCTGCATCTAAAATAACTTTTATTAATAGTGGGTGCATCTGGACTAGGATGATTAAAGGATTTTCAATAAAGGCGGTGATAGAGGTGCCAAGGACACCAGGTGCTTTCCGGGCCCCCAGAAAGCCCAAGATACAGTGACGGTTAGAAAGATAATAGCAAGTAAAAGCAAAGCATGCCAAGTACACTGCATGTTTCTTATCACAACCAATTCCAAGAGGCAACCTTCCTTGAAGTTCCAGCCTCAACCCACGGAGGATGTCACACGGGCTCCATTGGAGATGGCGTGACATGCCACCATGCCTGGCTTTTTAAAATAGAAAAAATTAATAACCACATAATTAGAAGAAGAATTTCATTACAGCTTTAACATATTCAGTAACACACTCAAAAGCAAGAGTATATCCCTTTCACAAGTGGGTGTAAGTTTCTAGGTTCACAGTTGAATTAATACAGTTATACAA